ATGTGTTTTGGTGTCTTCATGAATCCCTGCTTGCAAGATGCAGGATGTACCAGTAAATTACTTTTTCTGGTATATTAAGCTACACACTGAGCACATCTTGCAGTCTGGATTGGCAGCTTCTGTACTATTCCTTAGTATTGTATAGCCCATACTCTTTTGTGCTCTTCACTTTTGAAAATAGTTTACTGAATCAACTTTCAAATTGTTATGAAAACCTAAACCTTTTCAGATCTACAAATCTTAGGTATATAAGTAATTTAAAAAGAACACCCTTAGCAATTACAATTTGGAAACAGATCCCCTGATCCAGTAGGATGAATTTCTAGGTGGTAACTGTTGTTGAGACATATTTAGATTCTGTTAGTTACAAAACAGAGGGATCAAAAGATAATGGATGGACATGGGCAAAATGGGTTTAAAAAAAGATAAATTAGCTTCAATAAATATGCTTCAAAACATTAAAAAAAAATTGTTTCAGTAAAATGCAAGCTTTGTTCCATTTACTGGATTGCAGTCATAAGGGTGCGTATTTTAGAGTAGATTGGAAATTTTCTCACGGGGAACAGATTTTATCAAAAATCACCGATGTGATTCAGTTAAACCGCTCTGTGGGAATCCTGTCAAAACTCTTGATGGAATTGAGAAACCCACTTTGGTGCCCGCCTGCCGTGCTGGAGCTGCCGGCTCCTGGCAGGCAGCCCAGGGGCTCGGGGGGCTGCGCCGCGCCGGGGCTCCTGCGCCCCACACTCCCTCTGCCCGGGGCTGAGTGGGGAGCTTATTGTGAAACTCCAGCTTCGGGGAGCCTGTCTCTGAGCTGGGAAAAAATAATTTGATTTGGTTGGTTGGTTGTTTTCTTCTTCCTTAAGATGAAGTCGCTCTCCAAATCATTTTCCTGGAGCAGGATATTTCTTTAACTTTGCCATGATTTGGGTGTGAGAAGAGGATGGGGGTGAAAAGAGAGGTTTCAGAGGGAATGCTCTGCAGGGTGAGATTTTTGCTTTACAGCAGGTGCTGGTATAGACTGGAGGAGGGGGCTGAAGGGCTCCATGCACAGATGGTGATAGACTGTACTGTACCAGTGTGGGAAAATGATTAATCAATACTCCAGGGATTTATTCTAGTATTTAGTTCTTTTAATTTAGCCTTCTGTTTCTCTGCTCAGGAGCTCTATAAGAGAATGTTCTAAATGGGATGCTGATTCAGGATCCTGGTGATTTTTGAAATTAATCAAAACAGTTCCCTAACTGTTTTTTAGCTGGATCTCATTGCAAATGGCATTGAAGAGAACAAATGTTCTACCCGTGTTTCTAATTGCAAGTTGCATAAATGTGTCTCAGATTTTAATGAAGGTGATTGGGAGGAATAATACTGAGGAATAGCAAATGATAAGTGAACAAGATGCTAAATGCATATTTTTCACAGTCCTATTGCACTTGTGTTGCTGTAGGCAACCTTCATTCTGATACTTCCCAAATTTTGAGAGGTTGCCTTTCTGACTTTATTGATGTATTAAAAGGAAGTCTGTAACTTCATAGATCTTGTTTTCAGCACAATTGAAAAAAAAATATATTAAAAATCACCTGAAGTGGTTATTTACACCGGTGTAATTCATTAATAGAGTTGTAACTTTCAGATTAGTCATGCAGATCTTTGCTTCATGAGGTGCTGGAGGATGTCGTCGCCCTTTATGGAGGATCAGTGCTGGAGGAAGAAAATGTCTTCCATTGAGCAGAAGGCTCCTTCCCTTTTTTTCATCCATCTCTTCTTTAATGTTGGTCACCTTTACTACCTGGTTACTTTTAATACCTACTGCCTTAAAGTTTTCCGTCTAAGCTGGAACCTCTCCCTCCTCTGTGCTCACTTCTGACACCTTTCTTGGGCACTCCCTTCCCCCTGGTGCTCCTTGTTCAAAATGAGCCACCTTTTCTCCTAATCACAGCACGAAATGAAACCTTCCTATTCAGGATGTGCTTCCATTGCCTCCCCGGCTGTTTTATCCAGTTCTCCCCCTACGTGATTGTTCATTGTGTCTTTGTTTCCTGCCTTCTGCCTCATTTAGCTCTTCAGTCTGTCTTCCCTCTGTCCTGTGTGGTTGTTTCCTACCAACCTGCTGATGGTGATGCCCTCTCCCAGTATACACATACTAACCCCTGTTCTTGTTTGTCCTGCCTCCCTCCTCCCATTTCTCCCTCATGCCCAACAACTTTTCTGGCTTTCTTCATTCCTCTTCCCCCCCACCTGCCCCCGCAGTCTGTCTGTCACCCTCTTAGTGTTTAAATTTCTTCTTCCACCGTGGATATGAGCAGTGAAGTAACTGAGGTTGCTGGAAATGTAGGCCTGAAGCGTCTGGGGGGGCTCTACCTCAATCCAGAGGGAGCTGTGCTTAGAGGAAAAATAGCCTTGAGCTGAAGAACACTTGCTTGCTCCATCCAAGTGGCTCATGATTGGACCTGACATGTGTGGGAGGTTGGAGCACACCTCTGAAATCCTCAGAGATTTTAGTCAAAGTTTTAAAAGCATTTACTCTGCATTTATAAATATACATCTGTTGAAGGCAGGGAAAACTTGTCACTGGACACTGAGGGGACAGACGGGTTCTTTTAGGGATCCTTGGCAGAATGATGATGGCACTAAATCATGGCTACAAGTAAAGCTTTATTTCCTAACAGGATAAGTAGAGCAATACAGAATTTATAATATAACTGAACTTGAAATTGCTGATCACCTGGACCTTCTGCAGGTTGGGTGAAATCTTTAATACATTGTTTTCTGTATCAATATAACAATGATAATCTAGACTGGAAATTCATATAAAAGGTCAGGAGTCGCTCCCTCATTCCTTGGAGGAAGCAGAGGACAGTGGAGATGTCCCTGGCTACCAGCAGGTCCCAGTTCTCACTGTCCAGCAGCAGCTTTGGTCCAAGTTCCCCCCTTAGGACCAGCAGCTGCTTGGTTTTCTAGACAGTGCTCTGTTACCCTTCCCTGTTCTGTGACGGGGCCATCGCCACCGCCCCGGGCGCCTGGAACCGTTGAGGCCAGCAAGGGATTGAGTAATGGACCTGGTGCCCAGGAACCTTGAGGCTGGTAGGGAGGGGAAGAAGAAATTGGCTTGGTTTGTCTGCCTGGGGCACAAGGGCCTGATAATGAGGGGGAAGAGAATGAATATGTGACCCACTCTGACACGGAAAATGGCTGCTTGCCTCAGAAAATGGTGCTAGTTAGGCTAACTAATTGCCAGGGGTCGGGAGCAGGGGTCACAGAATGACCTTATGAACAGCTCGTTCCAGTGTGAATGATTAGTTTGGTAGAGACTTAAGTAATAAAAGGCTGAATTTTACAGTGGAAAGTTGTTGATAATATTGATGATGATAGGTGCTCTCAGGCTCCCTTTTAATACCAGTGACAGATATTAGTAACAAATAAGGATGCTCTGTGCTGGAGGAGTGATGTACAAGTGATTGAAAGCCACAGTGTTAACTTCTAGGATGGGAAGATGTTACTTAGATTAATAAAAAAAAGATGCATTAAGAAGTAATGGAATATGTAAACCAAAGTCACTTAAGGCTGAATATCAAGATTGTGTAGCAGTATGCTATGAGATGTTTTTTCCAAGGAATTAGTAGAGATTCCCTTTTTTAAATGTTTACATGTTGACCAGATGAAATGCACAAATATCCTGTAGGAAACACTTTCATATTAATGGGAGGAAGATTGTGTAGCAAAATATTCCTTTAATGTGTCTCTTCTGAGAGAACATATGTTTGAGTTCTAGAAATGCAGTATACAGCGTAACCTCAAGTGGTGTTCACAAAGCTGCTTCAAATAGACTGCTACTTTTCACTGTCATCCTTAAGTAGGACATAGGGCCCCTAAATACCCATGGAAATGTAAGTGCAAAAAGGGAAAACTAGGCTCCGAGCCAAAGCCAGCTGAAGCTGATTGAGAGACTGCCTTTGGTTCCTGCGAGCTCTGGCTTGGGCCATTACCAAGCTAGAATTGAGCGTCAGGTGTTCAGACAGACTTTTTTGGTTGGTGAAGTCTGTGGGATTTTTGTTTTGATTCATGTTTGAGGTGCTGTCTGTGATTATAGGAGATGTCCCAGAGTGTACATATTTTCACTACTGAGTTCTAGAAATAGTAAGCGGGTAACACGCAACACCTTAACTACGCTTAATCATCAGATTACATATTGTTCTGGTTTTATGGCTTGACAGTATACACTGTTAAATCACAGGTATACCTAGAGATTGTATATTTATTCCTCTAAGATATGCCTACAGCTAGAGTAGAGGCAAGGAAGATGTCTTCACTTTGCATAGTTTGCAGTTCTTTGGCTATTTTTAGTGTGCTTCTCGTTTCTTCCCATCCTGTCAGATATTTAAACTTTTCAAATGGTGAAACAGATGAGAGGAGTATGTTTTTCAAATAGGAGATGTCTGTCGAGTTGCACATACAGGTTAAAGTGAGAGGTGATGGTCTGCCTGACTCAGAGGATTGTTTTATTTTACTTGTTTGCATGCTTATCTTCTATTTTAGAAACAGAAAATAAAATGCTTACATTTTATCATAATGGTTTTTTGAGTGCAGTCCAAGTTAATTCTTCCATTGTAATTCCACTTGGCTTGTTGCCTCACTTAATTTTACAGCTTGGCCTGAACTTTTTATAGATGTAGTTATTAGCTATCTGTGTGCTGTGTCTCCACTTCCTTCAAGCTGAGAAGAGTTGGAAAGTCACTTCTGGAGTTGGGTCAAGATTTCATTCCAAATGTTAACAGAAATGTAGTGTTTACTCTCCCTTCTAAGTGAGGTAAATTGCTTATGTACTCTTCACCAATAAAATTTTCCGCAGTACAGAAAAGATTTTGAAAAACTCTTACCTATTAAGCTGTAAAGCATCATGAAAACTGGGTTTTAGCACTTCAGGGTCAAAATGTTTGCATCAGTTTGGGGGGATAAATTGGAACTTGTTTTAATTAATTTCTGTTATATTTCACCTCTAGGTTCCAGCAAGATGTGGAGTGACAGTCAGAGACAGCCTAAAGAAAGCTCTGATGATGAGAGGTCTTATTCCAGAATGCTGTGCTGTTTACAGAATACAAGATGGGTATGGCTTACGTGTGATGATTTTTTTGCTCTTACAATCTCTTGGAGTTACTCAGTGTGGCAAATATTATCCAACATTGTGGAAGTTATTTTCAAAGTTCAGAATGATGTGATACTTTGCATTAAATTTGTGCCTTGAAGACATGTCTAAGAAGAATTACAAACTGCTAGAAAAGGATTTAACAGGCAAAATACAGAGTAATATGAGCTTATAGACTGCTGGCAAAACACTCATTAATCAAATTCATGCTAACCAAACAAGCATTGAATAGGTTTCATTAAGTTTTTGGTTTTATTTGACATAGTTATATTCAGTTAAGAAAGTACTATAGGGTTCCTGGGGGGGGGGGGAAATAAGTTCTCAGCCCTAAAAAATTCATAAATTATCTTACTGCACAAAATTAGCTGTCTCTTTGGAACTTTCATGGAACAGGTACTTTCACAAGCACTTTATGTGATCAGAAAGGTGTCTGTCACCTTGGAACTAAGGAATCAGCCACTACTGGAGCTGATGGAAGAAAAATCTGTTTCTTTCATGCAGTTTGTCCAGGAAGTTGTGCTTTCCTTGGTATGTGCGGAGTTTAATTCTTACCTTCAAAGTTACCTGAAGTTAGAGACAGGGTAGCAAAGCCCCATAGTGCAACTTTATACCTAATCTCACATTTTCAGCAGGAGACCTGCAAGGGCTTGTGTGCTGGTGCTAATGAACGGCTTATTTACACTTTAGAGAGAAGAAGCCAATTGGCTGGGACACTGACATTTCCTGGCTCACGGGAGAGGAGTTGCATGTGGAAGTCTTGGAGAATGTGCCACTTACAACACACAATTTTGTATGTACTGGTTTTTATGAAATGGAGTACGAAATATGAGTAGAGTTAAATCAGCTTTGTACTTTCAAATTCTAATTAACAACTTTGAATAATATTTTATGTCTGTGGAATGTGGTGGGGGTTGCAAAAGAAGTTTTTAATCACAATAGCTTAAGTGAATTAGAGAGAATTGTAATTTAAATAAGTGATGCTAGAGTACTTGATCACCCTTAAAACTTTCACTTTTGGATGGAATACACCCTCTAAAATCTATAAATGTAGGGAGATTAAATCAGCACTGCATTGCAGAGCTGTAATAATAATCTACTATTTTTGTATTGCTGTATCTATAAAATGTATTCTGGGCCTCCCTGCTGGCTCTGCAGCAGCAATTAACTAATGAACTAACTATTCCCAGAGCGGTGCTGACATCATCAATGATGCTAGTGCACAAATATGTTTTGACCTGATAAGGCACCAAGTAAATGGAAGCTGCTAAACAGAATCCATCTAAATGGTTCCAGCTACATACAAAATCCTGGAAATAATGTTTGTCATATTGAGAAGAAAGAATTTTTATTTAAATTTAAAAGAAAAAAAATTCTATTGGCAAGCTGCTTAAACTATTTTACTCAAACAAGCTAGTCTGGCTGTGGCTAGTTAGATGAAGGTCTAGTAGGCTTAACTTTTTTTGATACCTTTCAGGAATTTTGATTATTACATGTAGTAATACAACTAGAATGTGTTTTAATGCCAAGTACTGCTAAATTTGAAAATGAAACTAAATTATTTTTCTCCCCTTTAGTATGGGGATAACTTATATTTACCCTTTTGCAATTTTAAATGTTTCTGAGTTTCAGTAGTCAAAATTACAACTGTATATGTAACCACACATAGAAGCCATATATATAAGCCATATGTGTATTTCCAGTCCTGTAAGCGATGGATAGAAATGTCACTTGGCTCCTGAAAAAATTAGAATATGAGATAATCTTTCAGCAACTTTTGGTTTTTATAGGTTGTATTCAGTTAAGTTCTGAATGTTTGTCTCTGGCATGGTAATAATGCACTGTTTTGCTTCAGGTTTGTTGCTGTTTTTCTTACTGCTCATGAAGCGAAGCATTAATTCTAACAGATAGTTGAAAGAGAATGGTAATGCATGCAGCTATTTCAAAAAGGGGACGATCTTTTATATAAATCTATTTGATACAGAAAACTGTAGCTGCAGCAACAAAAAAGGGGCTTTTAAGTGTATTTGAGGGAGGTAAAAGCAAATAACCTATCTTAGGCTTACAGGAGGACTCTTTAATTATGATTATTTTTGACAATGTAGGTACGAAAAACATTCTTCACGTTAGCATTCTGCGACTTTTGTCGAAAGCTGCTTTTCCAGGGATTTCGGTGCCAGACATGTGGCTACAAATTTCACCAGCGCTGTAGTACAGAAGTGCCACTGATGTGTGTTAATTATGACCAACTTGAGTAAGTAATCACAATTGGTTTTAAAGTTGAGCCTTTTATTAAGCTTACAGCTGTCAGTGATTTCGTATGTTAAAATTTGTAATTCAGGAAGTCAGAGGAGGTTCCTGAAAAAAAATACAGGAGTTCAACTGTTCTTATGAGACTGCATAATTCATATTCTTTCTGTGCAAGCTCAGACAACCGGTTCTTTTTTTTTTTTTTTTTTTTTTTTTGCTGGACTATGAAATGCTTTCTTTGAGGCATGAATGGGGTAGCTGAGCACTTGACTATCAGACAGACTTCTCGTTGTTCACAGTTGTTACTCTTAATCAAAACTGGTTCTTTATTATGTGATGGCGAGGGCACTGTTTAAATGTTTAGATGAGGGTTTATTCTCTTCAACCTGAAAAAAATGTTGAGCCACTAGTTTAATATGGTGAAATTGCTGGTGGTTTTACAGTGATTGAAAATAAAACCATTAGTGAGTTTGCCTAGGTAAGAAACATAAAAGAGAATGTCCCAAATAGTCATGGGTTCTTGAATTTAATTATTGATCTGTTTGTGTAAGTCTTTGATGTTGGTTAAACATCTAGTGTAAATTGGCTCTGTGTTCTATTTGATCAATTTCAGCAGAGGCTATTAAGTCTTTTAAATAGATTTTCATATAAGGAGTTGTTTAAAATGCTAGTTTTTCCCTCAATAATAAATTCAATTTCTGCTTATATTAGTATTTGTACTGTTTCCTTGGGCATCACTAGAGTTTGTGCTCAGGGCTTCCAGATAACATAATTCTGACAATTTGGCATTTGGTTTTTGGCATTGTATCAGTGCAGACATTAAAATAAGTCGGTGTACTCAACCTATACTTATAGGTTGTGCATTCTTGAGGAACCAGATGTTAGCAATTTCAACTAAAAGATTAAAATTACTTTCTGCAAAGGTGTGTTTAAGGCATGATCTTTTGGTCTTTTGTCAAGTAAATAATATTTTCAACAAATCTTGCAGATTAATGTGTTAGTGTAGTCTTTATCTTAAAATTTAGAATTTGATCAGTGAGGTGTGTTGGGGTTTTTTGTTTTGGTTTGGTTTTTTTTTTTTTCAATCTTTGAGCATTATATTATGAAGCTTCTGGGTTTTGCACAAGCTAGGTTGTTTTTGTTTGTTCTTGCCTCACAGTTTGCTGTTTGTCTCCAAGTTCTTTGAACATCACCCCATACCGCAGGAGGAGGCCTCCTTAGGAGAGACCACCCCAGCATCTGGATCGTACCCCTCAGTGCCCCCCTCAGATTCTGTTGGGTATGACCTTATTCCTGCTGTTTAATAACGAAACATTTCAGTACTGTTTGCTTAGAAATACTCAAAATACTGCTTAGCAACGCACTACATTTTTGTAATCTGGCTTGTCATACAAATACCTATGCTTAACTTCCAAGAAGTGAATGTTTTCATTCACATGAATGATCTAAATTAGTAATGAACCCAAGTTAAATGTGTGCATAAGTGTCTGTAGAATTGGAGCCTTACCTGTTAAACTGATTTCTTCTGCATGGTAGCTTAGACCTGGTCTAAACTGGAAAGATTTTATACCTAAAATTAATACAACCCAAAACGATATCCTCAGAAATTATTGTAGTTTGTGTTATCAAACTACAACTTGTTGGCCTTGAAGTGACATACCTCTGTTTCAGAATAAGCCACGACACTATAAGATTGGTGGGAACAGATGCCAATTTCAGGTTCATAATACTGCTTTAGTAGCTTTTTCACATACACATTGCTTCAGTGTCCTCCAGACCAGCTGTCTTCCTCCTGTGTAGACGTTGGGATATACCTATAGCATTTGTTTGCTGCAGATCCAGGTTTTGTAAAATTAGACTTCTAAAACTGACCACAGCCTCCACGCACTGTGTTTCCAACAAAGATTGTGGACCCTCTCTCTGTGAAGAGATAAGTGATCGAGTTTAGGTTATGTTCCCAGTAGCTAAGAGATCAGTGACACCGCCCAGCACTAGATAGTTGAACAAATCTCCAGGAAAGAGTAACTCAAGGATGTCTATCAAAATCAAGAAACCTGATGCAGATCTATTAAAACCACCAAATACAAAAGCCTTCAGAAAAACATTCCTAGGACATGCGTGCTGCGTGGAGATGAACGGAATTTGGCAGAGAGGCTCTCTTGGAATAGTGAGCATTGTGCCCAAACTAAAGCAGAAACGCGGCTGGAAGCTACGCAGGCACGTACGGACTCTTACTAGAAGATAAATTGCCTGGACAGCCAAGACTGTTTTGTGAAAGATCAAATATGATGTCTCCCAGGAAAATAGATTGACAGTCCTGCAGAGGGAACCTCATTTGGTAAGTACAAAGAGAGGTGATGTTCTTATTTGTACTATTTTGTGCAATTTCAAGTAAATTTGGAAATGCCTCTTCCAGGTAGTGGATGTTGCTTCTGTATCCCGTGGGTGTTAGTTAGTACAGCAGATTGTGGACAAGGCTGCTGTTGTGGTTCTCTAAGTTAAGCAGGTTCTGCCTTTCTCATGCTACAGCTGAAATTATAAACAGACTAGAATTATTAATGTGTGAAGAAGCTAGCTCATGCCAACTGTGATGAACACCTGTGGGTGCCAAAGGCACTATATAGTCCCAATCCTAATACTGGTATATGCTAAATTTTCCTGCTTTTCAATTGGCTCTGCCTCACATTTGTGCTTTCTTACCAATTTGTGAGGATACAACAGGATGGATTATCTTAATTGATACATGCACTACGTCAGGCAGTCTTAGTTTTGTGAAGTAAAAAATTAAAGGAAAAACTGAGACCAAAGCTGGTCAATGCCTTAACGTTTTTAACTTCACATGTATATAAATGTTAACATGTAAATATACTTGCCAGTTGAGGTTAAAGAGCTTTTCTCAAGTGTTGTGTCTGTAAATGTTTGTGGTTGCAGGAGCTGTGACAGGTTTCTAGCTTTCTACTTTTTGCTTTTTTGCCTTGCTGCACACTTCATTGTTAAACAAAACAAGGCATACATCATGCCTTCAAAATTCTGTTTGTTTTGAAAACGGTGTATGATTGTCAGCTGGTGTTCATAAGTAGTATGCATGTTCAAGTCATGCAGTTTTCCCCAAGCATCTGTGTTTATAGTATTTCTTCTCCAGAAGCAGCTCAGATATTTTTGTATGAACATATAGCACTGTCTGTACCTTTGTCCAGTAATCCTTTTGACTTTCTTGAACAATACTTCTCTGCCTTTTAAAGACATAGTTGTAGAAATAACAATTTCTCTGAATTTTTTAGAGTAAAAAAGAAAAAATGCTGGCCTTGTCTATAAAAATATATAATTACTCACCGTTTTGTTAAATGTTACTGCTACAATATGGGACAACAGCTCAACTGGAATTAAAAAAAAAAAAAACAACCTGACATTTGTGCTTATCTTCTCTGGGAAAAGCATAAGGCGTTGAAATTTGAGACTCGTTGAGCAATGGGATTGAAAATATGAGCAGCTAGTGCTTTATTAGCACCTACTAGTTTAATAATTGTTCCTTTGATTTTTTTTTTTTTTTTCTGTTCTCCTAGCATCTTGCGTGGCTCAGCCCACAGAGGAAGGGATGTTACTAATCGTTCCTTAAACCTGAGGAAAGAGAAGGCAAACATCCTTCTTCATCTTGAGCCTTGAGAAGGGATCCCAGCAGCAGGCGAAGCGCCCGAAGCAATGAGGAGTTTGTGTCGCAAGACAAGCTCAAGAGCAAAGGCGCGTGACATGCTGAGAAGATGCCAGGGGATCAAATGGAGGAGATGAGAAGAGAAAGGGACATAAAGGAAAAGACCATTGGACATGATGCAAAAGCTGCTAAACATGCCGGAGAACTTTGTTTCACTTTGTTCACGTTTACCATCCTAAAGCAATGCAGACCTGTAGCCTTTCACTCGTCCAACTGTAAGGCATAGGCAGTCCCTCCAGACCTTCCTTCCCAAGATAAGGGAGCACATACAGGCCCACTTGCACATTTCTGAATCTCTTATCAAAATGTGTCCAGCCTCCACGTTAGGTCCTTTGTCCCATTTTAGTTCTTTCAGTTTGCACTATCCTGTTGTGCCAAAGCAGTCATTTTAGTAATAATCTGCACTTAACTGGAAAGAATTATTAACTTGTAGGTCTCCCTAATATAGCCATTTGTAATAAAAGTGAAGTACACAAACTGTATATAATACATTGTATTCATTTCATTCATTGCACTATCATAAAGTTTCTTCTGTATCTTTGCTCGTAAAATATGAGCACAGAATTTCTGTGAATGCAGTTCCCTGGATCTTAGAGAGATGAAAAAGGGAGAGATTAGCTACTCAGAATCTTCCAAAGTTGTCTTTTTCAAGTTCCATCTGTTCTCTCAGATGTTGTGCGGTTGGGCAAAACCCAGCAAATTCCTGAGGGAGATGTTACGGCGGGTAAGTAACCTGCGGAGTGGGTGGTAAGGGGGTGCACGGTCAGACTTTGGACAGCACAGAGGTGGGTTGAACCCAATAGAAACTGAAAGGATCTGCTTTGCTTGAGGCAGAACACTGCCAGTGAGCAGGTTGGCAACGTCTTTGCTCTTTGAAAAACAACATTTCCCAACATGCTTGATCTTCTAAATGTGAGAAAGGAAGGGGGACTGTCTGGTGCACCATTCTTGGAAGCTTGCCAGTCCCTGCCTCAGAGCAGGCTTCAGCCTCTGACTAAACACCTCTGCTTTCCTTTCTGTCTTCCAAATGCTCACTGATCATTCTGCTTCAGCTGAAGATATTTAAATGTCTAGAAAAGCTTCTGAAAAGCCAGTGAAACAAAGATGCAGTCTGACAATATTGTACTTGGTACTTCAACACCATTTAGATCCCCATGTGTTTAAGTGAGCAAAAGCTTTCTGTTTTATTGGATAAAACAATGATGAACTTTTCCCTAAAATTTCTGGCACCAGACCTTTTCCAGACCACTCCATGTAAATGTTAGCAAGCTTCCTATGATATCCAACTTGATGTGCATTCTTGCTGAGCAGAAAAGGCCTGGTATGGGAATCTTTAGAAAAATCATCTTTAGTCTGTAGAACAGATGGGGGGAAGCCTCTTCTTCCCCAAAACGTTATTTGCAAAAACATGATAGTGAACTGCAACCTGGTTTGGAGGACTGATGGCTGTGTGTTTCTCTTGATAGCCCCTGGTACATGAAGCTATCAGAAATTTTTAGGAGAGCGTTGCTACGCTTTGATCCAGGCCCAAAGGCCAGTATAAATGCACACCATTGATAATCCTGGTGGTTGTTTTACGCCTGCAAGCCAACATGGATGAAAACAGGTTATCATGGTACAGAAAAATGCAGTGATCCATATGAAGTTATCACTGTTACACTTCTGTCCCATGTGCTTTTAGACTGGCTCCGCAGGATGCTGGAAGAGGGATCTGCTTGCAGTTGCAAACCTGCACTGCTGTCATTTACCCAAATGTTGATTGGGGGTTATTCACTATTTCCAGGCTGCAGAGATGGGGAAAGAAAACAAAATACCTTCTCTTCTGATAATACCTGTGGAGTACCACAATAATTAAATTAGAACATGTTTGGCCTCCAAAATGTACAGTTCAGCTGCTTGCTAGCGTAGCTGAAATGCCATTGTATCCCAGATCTTTAGCCATGCTTAGAAACTGCTTGAAAAATGGAAGTGCACTGCATTCTTCATTATCGGCAGTAACCGAAACCAAAGGCAGTTGTACTCTGGTGTAAACAACAACAACAAAAGCCTTGCTATGCACGCTAGCTTGCAATAGGTTTGACTTGGGTATGAGTACGCAGTCTACCAGGTGAACGGTGTGTACTACACTGAGCTCTGTGGCTAAGCTGAGGTGCACTTGTTCAGACTGGCGGGGGGGAGAAGAAAAATCTCAGTCCAGGAGAGATACTGTAATTTTAAAAGAGAAGTGGCACACACCCTATAACCGAGGTTAGGTGAATATGAATTTTCAGTTTAAGTATTTGCCAAATAAAAATCCAAACAGAAGTCTTGAAGCCCAAACAAACCTCTCTTAAGAAAAATCTTTCCTGAGTAGACCAGCTCTTAAATATATGATGCATCGCATTGGTGAGTTCAAGGAAATAGAGAAAAATCTATATTAAAATTTTCTTTTGTGTTTGTGAATTGAATTAACTTTTATTATTGCAAGTTCTAAGATCTGGTGGAGGTACTGTGCATGATTTTATCGAATTGTCTGTTTATGTAAAAAGCAGCATGTGTGGGCACTTTTCTCAGTTTTCTTGCTCCTTCCCATGAACCCAGTTTTGTAGAATAGTAAATCCAGACATGTTGGTACTTGTGTGATTAGGTAAAAATCTACTTCTCTCTGCACTTATTCTTGTCCCCTGACGAAACCTCTTTCTGTTTTTTCTTGACAAAAAGGGAGGGAGCAATGTGCTTATCCCAAATACATGGTCCAAGGAAAAAGCAGGTTCTACCAGGAGAGTTTGTAGCATATTAAATCGAGATTTGACAACTTGGCTTGTTGCCTGGGAAGCTGGGAGTCATTTGTTAAGGGAATGCCCACATCTAAGAGGCTGGAAGGAGGTGTGCAAGATGAGGTGGTATAACCTCTCTAATATGTCAGGGTATTGACCTTCTTATTTGTAGATCTCCTCTAGGTAGGAGATTGACTGTTAACTGCTTACAAAGGCCACAGGAGCAACAGAAACTTGGATCCTGGTATTTAAGCTGCTGCTTTTTTAAACCTCAGCCTGCTATACATGTATGTTACAGTAAATAGCACTTTGCAGCAGATGTGTTCTGATCCTCATGATGTTTTTTTGATTTTTTTTTTTCTTTTTTTGGCGGTATATTTGCTGGCACTATGTTTGCATAGCCTGCAGAACTAGCTGTGTAGCTCGCCTGGAACAGACAATGTCACGCTCTTCCCAATGTTGATGGCTGGTCCTTTTTGCTCCAGTGTCCCTTCTACCCTTCTAGAGTAATTGAAATTTAGAAATACTGTAAGAATGGGCTTTTGGTAGCTGAGGGGATTGCTGCATTCTTTGCGGTGAAGTGTTTTCTGTAGATCAAGATCTTGATGCAGATCAAGATACGCAGCCTTTGCCACACACAGGCAGTGGCTGGTGCTAATCTCTTCTGGCCTTGTGATCTCAGTGGGCCATCTCAGCTAGCAAAGCCCTTTTGACTTTCTTTTTCCTAGTTACCTTTTTCAAGCAGAATTCCCGCTTAGCAAAAAATAACCTACCTTTTTTTAAGTGTCCCAAGGACACTCATTAATGAAATCCTGATTGTATGGATGGAGCACAGGCCTAACTGCTTATGAGATTCCCATCTCTGGATTCTTTGGTGTCTTAAATCCCAGAGATCCTCCCACTAATAGTTTAGAGACTCCAAAAAGACTTTTATTAGCCTGTAATTATTTTCTAAAGATCTAAACTTCTTCCTGTTAGAATTTAATGAGTAGAAAAAGCTATTCAAATTGTTTTCAAACATGGTATGACATAGCATGCTATCTGCACTAGCATCATGACGGGCATGATGACCTGTGACCAGAAATACAGAAGTATTTGCAGATTCCCTTAGCAGATGACCATTTATGACTCAAACGAGGATGTGATTGAAACAATATTTCTGAATTTTTTTGGTTTTTTTTATTCCCTTGGCTTACTCATGATCACAGAAAATTTGATTGCTTCTGTTCTCATCGTGTGGCAGAGCTCAAATGCTGTTGTGCAGTCACTCTTAGTGCAGAGATCTGATTACTGTTGTTACACATTCCTCTTAATTTCGTTATTACTGAGAACTCTCAGGAAGCCTGAGCAGGAGTTAGCTGTCCCAACAATGATTGTACTGGCCTGAAACACTTTTTAGGCTTTTCTTCTGAAACCTTTCTTCGCAGCATCTGACACACTTGCCTTAACATGAAAATACAGTGCCTTAGAATGTCAACCAAAGTCCTGTGTTTGTATCTGTGCAGTGTCCCATCTTCTGATGTGCATTCTAGTTGCATGATTTCCTTACAAAAATGTTTGGGAGTTCAAAATGTTTTCATCTACAATAGAAAAGGTTTTACACAAATGCACTTGTTAGCAACGAATGAAAACTTAAGCTTACGTATATGTACATCAATTTAAAAAATGTTTCGGAAATTCAGAGCGTTTTCTGAAATGCTGGGCTGTTCAAGGCCCTTTCTCAGAGATCTGTCTATTGGCAGTTTCACTTAATTGCTTTCTAGTGTCTTCCCAATATTTATATTCTGTCATGTGACAATAGGTAACTATTTATTTTTCTTTGAAGTTAAACAGGGTTAAACTCCCTATCTAATCTTGTTCCGCTCTCCCTTCCCACTTTCCAAACATAACCTAAGTATTTTTTTACAAGACTTTACTAGACTGTTATTTGAATTAATTCGTAAGTGCTGTGTTTCCCCATTCTCAATTGTGAGACTTGGCCAGGAAGGAAACGATGACAGGTACTTAGGATACAGATAGCACTGAGTTCTGGGATCAGCGCCAAACTGCCTAAACTCTTCAATGAAAGCAGAGGTAATAGTCTTTTAAAGCAGACCCGTTGCTGAAAAAATGTGAAGAGATCCTGTCGAAAATGTTAGTTGCCCCTAAAGATCTTTGGAGAGACCAAGGAGCGTTCACTTACAGGAGGCAGCACCAGGACCCGTTGCTGCTCTGTGCTCCCGTATGGTTTATTTGTGAAGCCTTTCCCCCTGGGCACTGCCTTTGTGAGCATGGTAACTAACCCAGGAGTAATCGAATGGCTGGAGGGTTTTCTGCAAGTTCTAAAAACCTTGTTGTCAGATGTCATGTGTATTTTAACATAAAGTTTTCTTCGGCATAGTTGGCAAATGTTTCTCATTGACCATTTGCCTTCTATCCATTAAATTGAATTGTTAGATTTAACGGTGACTGACCTTGAGTTGAATGAGAGATAAATGCCAGTTTATTGTACTTAAACAGAACAAATAGATAACCAAAGAAGTGACATTCTGCCGTCTTACAAACAAAAAAGCAAGTGTTTAGATGTTCTGTCTTTCAAATGTGATTCATGATACTGTACATTAAAGACTTTATCTACATTTATGACCGGCAGCATTTGCATTTCTTCAGAAAACTTACCTGTATAGCCTGAACACTTACCTTTTAAGTCAAATCTATTGCATTGCCTAACTGTAGCACTGTAAATGCTGTTGCACTATACAAAGTTACTTCATAAACGTTGAGGTTAAGAGGCGATATGTTTATTTCTATTATCAATAATTTGCATTACATTGGCCATAATATTAATCAGTTCTGTTGAGTGATCAGTATGTAATTTTCAGTCTTTCTTCGTGAAACAGTGATCCCATCCGTAGAATTTGTTTTGTGATGTCTTCTGACTGTAATGTTGATGTGACATGTTAAGCATTTTTACTTCTCGATGGACTGCCATTAGAAAAAGAGTGTATTGCATTAAGTCTGAAGTGAGGAAACCACAGAGCATCTTGCCATCTGCAGTGCACGTTGGACTACGTGCATTTTTCAGATCGGGATTTATTACTAATGGTTTGGTATGGTATGTTAGTAGTTTTTGTTTTGTTTTAACTCTGAACACTTCACAGGCACGTAATTAGGTAGTTGGGGCAGCAGAGAGTTGTTGCAATTGATCATAAGGGACTAGAGATGGTTCATTATGAATTGTTTTTATGTAGGCCTTTAGATCAGTTGTTTTAAATGTATGTATTATTATAGTTGAAAAGGACTTACCACACCCACTATGCGGTATTTGAAGCCATTTGTAGACCTAAATCCTCTTTTTCCTTGACTTTGTTTCTCAGACCACCAATTCTCCCTAGTCCTTCTCCTTCAAAATCCATTCCAATCCCACAGCCCCTCCGACCAGCAGATGAAGACCATCGGAATCAATTTGGGCAACGCGACCGATCCTCTTCAGCTCCCAATGTTCACATCAATACAATTGAGCCGGTCAATATTGATGTAAGTATTCATAACATTTGGATCAGGAATAGCAGATTTGATGTTTCCCTTGTGAATATCAGTGTGTTAAATTTATTGCACGTACACACGAGTGCTGTGTTTCTAAGCTAATCCTTGGTGGTCTGTCAGAGTCTTCGTAGATCCCATGGAAGACGTTCTTGCTGTTGAAAGCTGTGAGAATGCAAATTACCCATTCTTGAAAAGCAGAACTGCCTTCTGACGGTCCTGTCCTTTCATTTTTAAAGAAACTTTCTACCACAAACCACCGATCTTTTTTTTTTTTTGTCATTAGTCAGAAGGCTTGTGCTGCTAGCTGTACGACAGCATTAAGAGCATGCGAGCCAGTAACCACTTTTGCAAACCATTGTATGTTAAGTACGTTTCTTTATATGCAAGATAGGGATGTTCAGTATTTGTAATTCAAGTAACATTTCTGGCATTGAAGAAAATTAAATTATTGCAGTCAGCCGAGTTCAGATTTCCTGAATGTTCCTTAGGGTTTCAAGAGGCCAGTATATACTGTTCTGAGCATTCTTCTGGAGCGTTCAGAAACTACTACGCTTAAATTGTTTTCCACATTTTTAAAATTTCTGGATGCTGATTTGTAAATAATAGTAAGGGTTGATATTAGGTGTAAGGCCAGCTAGGGTCTTTCAAAGTGTCGGTCGCAATAACCTCCTTCTAATTTTGCCAGTGCGTGCAGCTCATATTTTACCCTTAAGCCTACTCTTTAGAAATTAGTCATTTGGCAGGTGAGCAGTTTTGAAGTCTGCCTGGACACCGAGGCACAAAAACTGTTTTGCATGTGAACCGAGTGGAAGGTGCTAATTGAGTGTTAGGAGTGTGGCTGTGTAGACATTTGCGTACGGTATATGGCAGTGGTGCAGCTGAGAGACTGCACCAGTGCTTTTGGCTTGATGAAAAGGGACGTACCGAGGGAAATTGCTAGAATGTTCTAATTCTCTTCTGTTTAGAAAAATCTTCAGTATAGTTTGCTTTTAGTCTGGATATGTTGTAAAAGACTCTCAGCTCACAGTGGATTGCAAATGAAGGAAACCTTTTGCAGTTAGTTGTTTCTGAGGAGAACAGAGTACGCCTGGCTATGCAAATGAGGTGCTTTGTTACAAGGAAAAACAAAGCAGAACTCATTTGACTGATGTGCCTCAGTACAGGAAATTGGTGTCCCAGCTTATGATATGACAGTTCAAATAATTTGTGCTGTAGACACTGTAACTAGAACGTTTGGTTCGATATTTCTTCATGCATTTTGGCCAACTGCATGTTTAAATCAATATTTTCATGTCAGTATCTATTTTTGGTGGTGTACATTTCACTCTACTGTTGAGAGATGCTGTTTTAAAGCAACTAATTTTGAAAAGTTGAATAGTTGTTATAAACAGTTCTTTGAAGTTGCTGCTGTTAGTAAGACAGGGTAGCACACAGCTTTTATTTTATGGGCAACATACGAGATTATGGATTCTCAATTTGACCAATCTTAACTGATTCTGGAATGTAAACAATAATACGCAAATTAAACGCTTTCTTTTTTTAATTTATAGGACTTGATTAGAGACCAGGGCTTACGAGGAGAGGGAGGTAAGTAGTGTTTAAACTAGCTACTGTGCTGTATTTAATTACACAACTGCTCCGTCCCTTCCCTTTGTTCTACTTTCTCCCACAAAACACAGGCACAAAGGAAAATATGACTAGAACAAAATATTAATTTGCATTTGCTTGTCCATGAACTTAATATTTGTCTGACAAAGGTTGAGTCATTTGCCGGTCATTCTGGGAGTGGGGGAGACAGAAGGAGAAAAAGTTTTGAAGTGGTATCTAGTTTTTTAGCTTTAAAATTATCTTGCACCATCACTCTTTTGCTCTTGCACACACACACACACACACATACACACACACACACTCACTCACCTACACGGCTGCGCACAGATGTGCTGCCACTTCCCAACTCTCTCAAAGATTTTTATAGGTTTTTATGCCTGTCGTTACCTTTCCGCCCATGGAAACAACAGGGGGTTTCATTGGAAACCATCAACGTGGTAGATGAACCTTCCATACGATCTGCTGCATCCTAAGGCAGCGTGACATACTCCGGTTCTTCTCCCCCTCTGCCCCTGCTGAAGATGCTGCTTTGCTGTACTGCATGCCTGTGCTACTCTTGGAACCAGGTTGTTAGGACCTTATGCTAAAACCAGGTCTTTATGATTCCTTCAGTAACACACAGCCCTAATTCTCAGTTAAGTCAGAACTAGTGCCAGAAGATTTATTTTTCTTCATGTGTTACGCATGGGCCTGTTAAGTCACTTCTCCCACTGGCTGTCAAGGTCCAGAGAAGGCTTTGTATGTGCTGTATTTATTCCTATAAATATAACAACAATATAGAAATAAAGAAATAGTAAGTAGGGCAGGCATGTGACAGTTTTTCCAACTCCAAATCATTAACACAGTCGTCTCCTACCAATTATAACGTGCTTCAGCCATACTTAAAATCTGAATTACCTTAGTGCGCTCTCTCCCGGTCTCTAAGGTTTTGTACTGTGGGCTGTCACTGACTTTGTTTCTCCCACCCAAATCTGGTAGTTGGTAGGATGGTACCTACCTAGTGCATTGCATTTGATACAGCTATTTTTTGTTATGCCAGCAATAGAATGCTTCTTTTTAAAAAGAAATTTCCTTTAATCCCACAGAAATTTCCTTTAATCCACTAATTTAGAGTTGCCGGTGGTAGCTATTTTTGTATGTGTTGATAGGTGTGGCTCTCCACAGTTTTGCCCATTTTGTCCAGCATTTAAATGTTGTGCTATCATGTTGGTTTTAACTTTTGATCATAAACTGTCTGCTTGGCATCTGAAAACAATTGGCTATTCCCAGTCCTGAAACAGTGTTATTAGTAATTGACTTTTTTTTTTTTTTTTTTTTTCTTCAAAGTACAGAAGCAATCTATGAATAGGAGTCAAAGCATCCTAGTTATTTCCCATGACTTCTTTCATTTCTTCTGTGTGTCTGTCTTTCTGTCTCTGCCTGCCCGTCTCTTTCTCTCTAACAGCCCCTTTGAACCAGCTGATGCGCTGTCTTCGGAAATACCAATCCCGGACTCCCAGTCCCCTCCTTCATTCTGTCCCCAGTGAAATAGTGTTTGATTTTGAGCCTGGCCCAGTGTTCAGAGGTAGTTGGGCTCTTCTTTCTTGTTTTCACCCAAACAAAATAAGTAAAACCACAGATGCTGTTTGTGCCTCACCCTCACACCGTGTGTATGTAAGTGTGTGAGTTTATCGGAACACCTCTTTTTTTTGCTTGGCCTGGCTGGAATGCTTTGAATGTGCTTTTCACACATACTCACTATCACCTTTACACGCTTGAAAATGACTGTAAAGAAAGTCTGACTTAAATCTTCAAAAGCAAGGAATTTCATAGTTGAGGTTTTTGTGTGGACCTTCACAAAATTTTTCTAAACAAAGGTCCTTGGATTTCATTGCAGTGATTTTAAAGTGACGTCCTTAACTTAGAATTTCCTTGACTGTTCAGTTTAAGTCAGTTCAGTGCTTTAACAGTTTTTGATATTGAATATTCATTGTTTTGAAAAGTAATCTAGGAAATAAATCAAATGTGAATTACAAACATTTCCATTGATACCTTGTTAGGTCTTGAACTTTCCAAATGATGTGTCATGTCACCTTTCAACAAATACTCCATTTTGAGAATGTGCTGTTGATACCACATTGGGGCCCTAGATGGTTTAGACCATGTAGTTTTTATTTAGTTAGTAAATTTCCAGTTAAACGGTATTTGTTTGTGTCTCGTACCATGTAAAATAAGACTCTTCCATTTTCACGTCATTGACGCTGGGGGTAATTCAGGCCTAAAGCTGTCAATGGATCTGTTGTATTGCACAAAATCCCCAAAAAACTGTGTGGAATTTCCTACGCTGGAGAAGCCAACTGTTGAGTGAAATGTAAATATTGGTGTCTGTACATACACATGTAGAAATGGGTAGTTCAGTGCATGTAGTGTGGGTTTCAAATGCTACCATCTTGGCTGTTTCAAAGACTTTTGTTTCAGAATATATCAAGAGCAGTTCACCTTATGAACTTGCAAAGTTCTTCCTGAAGTCTTTGTAAGAAGACAGGTGTTCCCAACAAGCAAACTGGCTACAGAATGGAATATGTTACATGCAGCTTCAGAGGCCAAGCTAATGACTTAAATCCAGCACTCTCTGAAGTATTCTTCTCTTATAACTTGGAAAAGAGGCCATCTGGTATTATTATGAACAGATTAACTGTCATGTTCTACCATGTGCTGTAAGCGTTTTTGGAGAAGGGTGAATATTGTGCTAGTGTTTCTATATCATGGTATTAAAATTTAAGTAGGAGACTTTAGTTGTCTCTAAAGAAAATGCATTCTAGTAGAGCTTTGCCGTTACAGAGGAAGTCTGTAACCCAGTAAAACTTCTGGAAAATTGCTCGTTTTCTGGGAACATCATGCATTTAATTCCATATATGTGTGATTTCAGACAAATAATATAATAAATACATGACAGTGTAGTGACCAGAACATGAATGTGAACAAAAGTCCATCCTTCAGGTCACTGGCATCCAGCTGCTTGTAAATTGTAATTAGGATGCCCAGTATGCATCGTTACTGTTGCTTTAGCATGTGAGACAAAGTTTATGGATGCTGCATCCCATTTTTGATGTTTTTGTATGTCATTATTTTGTGCTTCCACTTCTAAATGTATGGATTTTAGCTCAGTGAGGACAGGCAGTGATGGATATATATAGTCTGATAAATTAGCATGCACTGAGTGACTGAACTAGAGCAACGGTTTTAAAAGTCACAAAATCAATTTTTTAACTCAAGTTGGGATTGGGAGACACTTTTTCGTTAAGAGGGGGGCTTCTGAAGGAATGTGAGGAGTATTGTCTTCTACCACTTCCCAGGGCACTGATGTGAGAGAAGGCAATGGAATATTGGACAGTGACATACATCGTTTAGCAAAGCAGTATGAAATTAATTAACAGTTGACCCTATTTTATGTCCTCTGCATCGGGAGAGTCAGCATAACCTTGTTACAAATAATTATGGTGTGTTTTAAAAAGCAGTGTCTAGTTGAAGTGCTCTATTTGTAAAGAGCCGTTGGGGCTCTGAAACACAGCTCTGTCAGTGACATTTTCCTGCATAGATTTGTTTAGATAATGTATAGGCTACAGATGTACTGTTCTTTTTGTATTTAATAGAATGTGCTTCAAATAGCTCACTGAAGTACTTGTTCTTTTTTAATCCTTTCTGCAGTCTAATAGTTACTTTTAAATAAGAGCTCTCTGCTAACAGATAGCTTTAAAACAGCCAAATGGTTTTCAGGTGGCACTTGGAGACTCAACTAGAAAACATTTCCATTCTTTGCATTTAGTCTATTTTGATTTCAAAGTACAGTATTTCAGCTATTTATTGGGTCCCTATAAGGTTAGCTGTAAGAAGCCTGAGAGGTAGCTGCTGCTAACTAAAATGCTACTACTTTTCTTCTCGAAGAAACCAGTGGAATTAAAAAGGACATTTTTAATTTTTTTTTTTTTTTTTTCTATTTAAAGAGACGTTGTCCTTCTGATAACTCACGAACAAGAGACTTGGGACTATTTGGTGTACAGGGGTGTTTGCTATAGACGTGCATCTTCCTCAAATCTAAGACTTGAGCACTAATTTTAATATTAGGACAACATTCCTAGTATATGTTTGTTCCCTCTTAACATTTACATTGATGTTTGGAGATACTGCATCTTAAACACAATTCTTGCACCTAATATCAATACATTCTTGTCAGCTGGCTTCTTAGAGATAAAATGATCCTGTTTCTGAACTTTAGGTTCAACTGCAGGTTTGTCTGCAACACCTCCCGCCTCTTTGCCTGGGTCACTCACCAATGTGAAAGCGTTACAGAAGTCACCAGGACCCCAACGGGAGAGGAAATCATCCTCATCCTCAGAAGACAGAAGTAGAATGGTAAGGGGAATATCAGCTATTGTCATTCATAGTTTGGTATATTCATAGTATAGAAATACTACACAACCATGTTCCTCTCACTTTTCTTCCATCAAAGCCTTCTGAATTGTTTTGAAGATGAGTGTGGTAACGATCAAGGACTTTAAACCAAGAAATAATGGAATATTGACATTTTGGGACTGATATATAAATCATTTAAATAATTGACTGTACTCATTTTACTCCATTGCACCCAAATGTCTTGGTGTGCTTCATATTATAATGCCAGTTTCCCTTCAAATAACAGCTTAACTTTTCCCACCACGATTCATGAACTTTGAAAGTTCTCTAGTGATTCTCAGATGTAACAATACATTAAAATGTCTGCATTATTTTAAATTCACAGTTTAGCATTATGGTTGAGTAAGAATTGAAAAATAAATGAGACTTTCTTTTTGGTAAGAGTTTCTTAGTATTTACTGGCTTTAGCACTGCCAGAAACCTGTGGCAAATATTTCGTGCCAGGAGATAATTTAGTATAGCTGTGTGCTGAGGTTTTGTGTATGACTGACTTGAAAAAGCAAATTCAATATCTGAAAAATAAAGTTCTTTTAGGACTTTAATGATATGAGATGCTGGTACCAAATCTTTAACAAAGCAGCTGTTTTCACAGACATTAATGCACTTGCTTTCTTCATTTTTCTTGTTTATGCATATATATATATATATATATAAAGAAAACCCTTGGTCGACGGGATTCAAGTGATGATTGGGAGATACCAGATGGACAGATCACAGTTGGACAGAGGATAGGATCTGGATCGTTTGGAACAGTCTACAAAGGAAAGTGGCATGGTATGTGGCCATCATGGCAAATAGTTATTTTTAAGCAAGTAGCATTGCCTGCTGGGGGCCACCCACCTGGAGAGCAGCTTCACAGAAGTGTGTGGGGTTTCTGGTGAACAGCAAGTTGAACATGAGCCAGCAATGTGCCCATGCTGCAAAGAAAGCTGATGTAATCCTGGTGTGTGTTAGGCAAAGCATGGCCAGCAGGTCAGCGGAGCTGATCCTTCCCCTTAGTACTGGTGAGCCCATAACTGGAGTGCTCGGTCCAGTTCTGGGCTCCTCAGTGTGACAGACACGTGGACATACCAGGGGAAGTCTGCTGAAGGGCCATAAAGATGATTTTTAAATTAATGGAATAGCGTGCTAAATAGGTAACGTTAGAACTTCAAACTGTTTAGAAACTCAACTCCTGCATGTTCTTCAGAATTAAGTAAGTACGGGGGTAAAGATGGAACACGCCTACTAGAAAGGCTGAAGTATTGATGAATAAGGATTTAGAGCATGTATTTGGAAAGCTTTGACTTGGCTAGGCCTTCTCAAAGTAAAATACAAGTAGCATTTATAGATTTTACAGAATATTTACTTATTTCACTATTGTCGTCGTTTATTTCACAAAAGCTGGAAAATAGGGTATCTCAATATTTCTGATGCTCTACATTGCATTTTCTCAATAGAGGAATGTGTATGAATGGCACTTATTAAAAATTGCTATTTTAAAGGTGATGTGGCAGTGAAAATGTTGAATGTTACGGCACCCACACCTCAACAGTTACAGGCTTTCAAAAATGAAGTAGGAGTGCTCAGGTAAGAATATTTTTAACAGCATAAAATAATGTGTGTAGATTTATGCTTCATTAATCATTGAATTTTAGATTTCCGTTAGAACACATTAATCTTATTCCTCCATGATGGTACTTTGGGCAGAAAATATAACTTCCCATTTGAAAATATGTCCTTGTATCCGCTGCTAGCTCTTCCTTCCTCTGGACGTGTTTGTCTGTGCACCTATGTTTTGAATATATGTATGTCCAAACACTCGAGCTGGGACTGGTTTTTGCTGTTGTACTACCCCCGGGGCACGGTCAGGCCCACGTGTGAACTGCAGGCCTTTCCTTCCTCTCAGCCGTGTTCTGAGATGGAACGAGAGCATGACTGATTGTTGGGTTTGAGCTACAGCGCTGCCCTTGTTTTCTGTTGTTTAATGGTTTCTGTTCAGTAGCATTGACTTCTCTTCGAGGTTTTTTTTTTTAGATGTATTTCTCATAAAGTCACTTTGTGATTTCCTTTTCTCATGTTTACTGCTTGTACTTTCTCAGAGGAAGCATTTGTCTTGGGTTCAGGTCTTAAAAGAGGATCAACCAACACAATACAATAGAATGTTTGCGGGGGAAGGCCATTAGTGTCCAAGTACAGTCTTGAGCATAATTCTGTTTTAAGAAACAAAATAGAAAGAAGGTTTTTACCTCTGGAAAACTGATGTGTTGAGCTGGGCACCTGTGCTGGAGGAGCATCCCCAATAAGCTACACGGTGAAACGGGGATGGTCAGCCTTTTCCCCCAGGAAATGTTAGTTCTGAAAACTCAAAGCCAATAATTGTGGAAGTAGAGGCTTTCTGGGGTATGCTACTTTGGATATCTCTGCATATTTTTGACACACCTGCTCACAAGAATTTAATAAAATCAAAAATCTTGTATTACATACCTAGTCCAGATTTCTGCTGGTAGTCCCATAGCTGGAGTCCAGCCTTTCTGTGCTGCTGGTAGCTTCAGCACTCACAGTAAATATTCAGTTGTCCTATTGTTTGACCCAGACAAGCCAGGTTTACATGTAGTTGTGCCTTTTCAGTTAGGCTTCATCATTGCTTTCTTAGTTCTGAGGTAGGATTTGCAAGAAACCGCTTATTTTTTGTTCACTCAGCAGTTACTCTCAGCATCCCTTGACAAATTCTTGAACCTGAAAAAGGCACAGTCACATGCTCCACAACTGTCCTAGTCCACGTTGCTGAGAGGACAAAGAGGTTCACACTCTGGGCTCCTATGTTAGTTTTTGAATTTTAAAAACATAAAGAGCTCTGCCATCTTCAGCAGCAGCATAGATTTAAGAAGCTACCGCGGGTTTTAAGCTTGGTCTGTCAGGTTTCATCAGCAGTGAGCTGACTGCATTCGGTACAGAGCTGTGTTGGAAGATTGCCCTTATTTTTCCTCAGCCCCCGGGAAGGCTCAGAAATACTCAGGACTTCTTAGGTGTCTCATCTTTGTAATATCTTACTGGTATGTTTGGAAGTATCTAGTTCTTCATGTCCGTTTGATGACAATTAAGAATCTGATTGACTTTTTCTGGAGGGTGATGAGAATCTTTCAGATGTCACAGTTTATCAGTAGATTCCTTCAGGCCTTGAATCTACTGAGGTACCTCCTGAGATAATCCTCTCTGCATTTTTCGTTGTGGGGTTTTTCTGTCTGGAGTCACTCTGTCTTTGAAACAGGTTTGGTTTAATCTGGCCAAATCACTGTGGTGAGCTCAGTCTCTCTCAGTGCTGTATGGAAACAAGTTCATATCGTGACCTGACTGAGGAACAGTTTTCATACCTGTTTCCATCCTTCCTTGTATGCTGGCTCCATAGAGAGCACCAAATTTTTGTCAAATAAAGGATTAAGAAAAACTGAAGCCTTGTCAAGGAGGTGTGTTGATGGTTTCTGAGCGAAAGGGTTGTCCTTCCCGGAAGCCTCTGAGACTGCAATTTCATTTTGAATGTCCTCCTTACGGGCAGCGACGTCTCATAGTGAGACTGGGGTTACACAAAAGCATACCTGCCTGCAAACTGTCGCCGTCCCCTGGGGACGTAGTGGTAACATCGTCTTCTGAGCAGTCCTGTGCTGGGCCGCTTGCAAAAGCGAGAGGAAGCGGTGCTTACCCCAGAATAGCTGTTCCGGGTCATTAGGATAAGAAAGGCTAACTGCTGGAATAATTCATTAAACTGAATCTAGCAACAGGTTAGCATGTTGTCTTAGTAAAAGTTGAGATTGACCCAACAACTTCCGTTTGGAAATATACAGTTAGACTGTGTTAGATCTGCCTGCGTTTTTCCCGATGTCCTGATCCACCTGATCTCCTCCTGATTATTTTTTCCAATAGGAAAACACGACATGTGAATATCCTGCTTTTCATGGGTTATTCAACAAAACCCCAGTTGGCTATTGTTACACAGTGGTGTGAGGGGTCCAGCTTATATCACCATCTACACATCATTGAGACCAAATTTGAAATGATCAAACTAATTGATATTGCACGGCAGACTGCACAAGGCATGGAGTAAGTATCGTATTACTTGTTTGCAAATGAGCACTGGGGCAATGTTTACTTATCCCCTTCACACTCTGACTGACATGGGCCAATAAGGCCAGCTGTCTGCTCACTTTGCCAAGCCCAGGGTCCTGCCTCGACGATCAGAGCCTTTGGGGAAACGTTTATTGTTTTGATTAGTAAAATAAACTTCATGTTCTTTTTTTTTTTTTGTGGAACATAGGGAAATACAAATCATCAAGGCAATATAGTCTTAGACGGTAGAATAAAGATAATTACAGTGCACTTAAACTTTCATTCTTGTAAGCAAAGATTTCTGTTCCAGGCTTTGCAATATTCACAGTGCAGATAGTCTTAGGGTAGGAGGTAAAACATAGTTTAAAAAGAAACACCCTGTGAACAAGAGGACAGAATCCTGTAAGATAATGCAATCGATTTTTTTTTTTTTTTCTCCTTTTCTTGTAAGTATTGTAGCTCTCTAAATAATAGATTTCAGAATTTGCAGAAAACGTACCTATTTTGTTCTAAGGACTGTAAGTAACCCTTACTCCCATAGAGGGCAACTGAGTGAGTTAGAATTTACAAAACTAGCCCAATATTGTGTGTCAAAATCAGAACACTGACGGTAAGATCAGAGAAATCGCTCTCCATCTGGAAAGCTGCTATGATGATTGCAGTTCAGCGTGCCATTTTTCTACCAAGTGTTCTATTACATTTTCAGTCGAGGTGGGGAGGTGTTTGCAGCAACCAGCCCCAGCCTTCTGTTAGCTTGCTCATCTCCCCAGGCTCCCTCTGTAGGTAGTGGAGCTGCAGAAGCTGGCTTATGAGCGCGATTCAAAGCAGAGCCATAAACTGGGGCTTTTCCAGCAGGTTTGTGCCAATCTCATTGACTAAACAAAGAGCCGTGGGAGACTAGTTGCCTAATTTAGGCTGTATCTGTGCTGTGGGGCAGGTACTCTCCTCTGTGTTCCCTGCAATCTATTTATCCAGTCTGCAATCAGGGGATCAGTTTTTCCAGTCCCGTACTAAAAAGCAGTCAGCACACTTGAGTACACGCTGAGACTGGGAAGCACATTTAGCTCCTGCACTTTAGAAACATCTTACCTAAAGCTGTGGCTAACCCGCAAAGCGTCTTGATGGTCACCGTTAAGGCTGGGGGGCAGAGCCTTCGGCACTGAATGGCATGTCAGAAACTACTGGAGTTCTTTTATTCTGAATATTGACATAGACCTGAAAAGCAGAAGTTGGTGCATAATTGTTATTTCATTCTTCGGTAGCATCTGGTTTGAGCTGGAAATCTAAGCTTTATTTTATTTTTTGATTGTTATTAGTTGGGGTTTTTTGCTGTGGCTGTTTCAGGGTAACTGAAGTTTTACCACCTTGATAAATATGTGCAGTTTGAACATCTACAGAATTTGTGTTTCAGTAATACAGTGAATTTTGAGTTGTTGATTAGGGAAATATCATTAAACCCACCTAATCTATGATGTTTCTTTTCAGTTATTTGCATGCCAAGTCAATCATCCACAGAGACCTCAAGAGTAATAGTATCCTTTCCCAGAGATGTGATTGTGGAAGGTGACAACATTCCTGTTTGGTTGTTTTGTTTTGGTTTGGTTTGTTTTTTTTTTCAGCCAGAAATTAACTTAGTGATGTGAAAAGCTGTTCATGTGTGACTGTTTGCTGCATTGAAATTTCGTTGAGAAGGGGTAATACCACTAGTAGAAAAGTAAGGAATACTTACTATGTCTCTTGATGCGATTGCAATAACGTAGCGAGTTTTATTGGGGTATCACAAAGATTTTTGCATCGTTTGATTTCTACATGTAATGAGAGATTACACCAGTTCACTCATGAAGGTATTTTCAGCTTTTCTCGTACTTGGCATTTCAAGAAAGCCACCTGGGCCCTGGTCTGTTCAGCACTAGCCCAGTCGTTGCTTATGTAACCCTTAAATACCATAATACACCACGCTGACTGCATAGAACCCGTGTTATATGAAAACCTTCAGTGATGGTGGGTGGTTAAAACTGTTCTATCTAATGTTGCAAGGTTGTAGTTGTTTATTGTTCTTGTAGGCCAGGAGCGGTACCACTTGTTTGTTTGCCCTTAACATTACTCCCTTAGATATTTTTCTTCATGAAGACCTCACAGTAAAAATAGGTGATTTTGGTCTAGCTACAGTGAAATCACGGTGGAGCGGATCTCATCAGTTTGAACAGTTGTCTGGATCTATTCTATGGATGGTAAGCAAGAGGGAAGCGGGGTGTTTGTTTCAACAGATTTAATTGGCTTTGGCCAAAGTTTCTGAGACTATCCCTCCCTCACACTGACATACAGAAGCTGTCTTAAGCTGGAAAACACAAGCGGTAATATGAAGTACTAAATGAATGCTTTTCAGTTCTTCTTTAAGTTTTCCAGCAGTCAGCAAAAAACCTTTAGTGTCTTCATCCCTTACTCTGAGGTTTAAGCTGACCAGAAAATGGTGGCTAAGGAAAAAGGGTATGAGTAAGCCAGGGTTGAGGAGAAGGTGAGAAAAGCCACAGAAAACATCCTGCAGAGGAACTAGCTCAGCCAGAAGTAAGATGCCCTTAAGTTTTAAGGATTCAAGCGTGGTTACTCTCAAGAAGTTATACAACTTGCTTAAGTCTTAATAAGAAGTATAGTTACGACCTCCTTTTCTCCCTGAAAAACTGAAGGCTCTGATAGTTGGCATTCTTTTCAGTGTCATTATAACTGTAGTTATAGCTTCTTGGCCTGGATATGGTCGTTTTGTTCTGTCGTAGGGGAATAAAGGGATCACCAAGCTAAAATGAACCGATGTACTTTTGAGGTTCGTATCAACATCCACTCTATATTAGGACCCGATCACATCTGAAGGCAAGAGTGGGCCTTGCGCCTGTTACACCCTGAACAAGTCCGTGTTTTGTTCTTGGTGTGTGAGGTGCAGCCCAATGTGGTGAAAAAAACCCAAATTCTTTCCTTTTACGTTCCAGGCACCAGAAGTTATTAGAATGCAAGATAAAAACCCGTACAGCTTTCAGTCGGATGTGTACGCGTTCGGAATTGTTCTTTATGAACTGATGACTGGACAGTTACCGTACTCAAACATCAACAACAGGGACCAGGTGAGGGAAGGGGTTGGCTTCAGGCAGCCGTGGCCTGAAGCAGAGATTGATTCAGCCTCCTGAAGTGTACGTTTTGATGTACTGTGTGTTTGATTTACGTTTCTGATTCTGACGTTATGAGATGTTTCTACATTTTCTAGATCTGCCTCAGCCGTGTAGGACCAATTTACGTCTCTTTAGGTTGGGTGTGGGTTTTTTTTTGTTCTTCAAGTATAGATTTTCAGCTTCTGAGCTGGTTGCCAGGATACTTATTAGGGAGAGAGCAGATTACTTAATAATAATCTAGTTTAGAATAGTTCTGCAAAAGCAAAATGGTCCTCTCTGTGTTCAGTTATTTCTTGGGTTTGGGGGTTTTTGTCCGCCTTCCCTTTGCACTGAATAATAGTTCAGCAACGGGATTGACAAAATGGAACAGCAATCATCTCTCTGAATGTTTTACATTCCTTTCTGTCTTGAGAAACGCATGCACCATCTAATTGAATTTCAGGATATCAGTGTTTCTCAAATCCTGCTTGATGGAGTATATGACTTTCTAGAGCGTGTGACTCCTGTAAAAAGATTACTTAATTGTGAACAAATATTCCTTAAGTCTAATGATACCACATGCCTGTAATATATCTCCACAGGATAGGCACGTTTGCAAAGGCATTATCTGATTCATTATTTTTCTGTCTAATCTGAAAATAGTATCTATGCATAAAGATCTTTGGTGTAAACTATTTCACGTCGGGGTGGTGATATATTTATGTTGTTTCTGTGTCCACATCCCTTGTTTTTTCACTGTCAGTACTTGAGAATTGCAACCATAGCAACGTTCATCAGTGAATGCCATTTATAAGGCTGCTTCTTCCATATTTGTCAGAACACTTCATCCCAATTCATCAAATTTGGAGTGACTCCTTTTTTAATTATTATTACTACTTCTATTTTTTTTTTTTTTTCCTTTTGAAAGAAGGGCAATATCCAGATTCCTGGCCAGATGGATATAGCCTTCTAAAAGCAGTATTTGGGTATTGTTTTGGTTTTACCTTCTGTGATTTGAAAGGTTAACCCGGTGGTGTAGGTGCTCACAACTGAGTGCTGAAACAAATTCTAAATTGCAAGTGAAGCCAACATATAAAATGTGATCTGATGTTTTGAGTTCTGTCACTCCCAGTCTGTTGTCTGAAAAGACATAAATATTGCTCGCTCACTGTTGGTGCACCGACATCAGCTACTACTGAGATTCTTGGTGAGCAAAGCGTTGTTCTTGTTACACCTCAGAGTGTTTCTGTCACCTTAACAGATTTTTCTAGACAGACTAGGACTGGTTTTGTACTGATACTCTCTTTTCTCTAGCTAAAATAGAAGCTTAATCCCGCTGTGATTTGTAGAGTATCAGAAGCATAAATAATAGTGAATTTTTAATAATTTCAGTTTAAAGATGATAATTATTTAGAAAAGAATAACTTGCAGATTTTGATAAGTCTTATTGCAGCAGAGGTAAGGGACAGGGTAGACAAGCCTTTACTACGAAATGCTGCTCTGACACATGGGGATTTCTAAAGAAACCATATGGGAGCTTTATGCTCCTCCTTGCTGCCAACACAGATGCGACTGAATCAGAAAGTCGAAAAAGGACCAGGATTGTGTTAGTGGGAGTAACATGTATAGCTTGCTTGAGGTGTGGGCTATTTCTGTTGTGGTTTTTGGGGGGGTTTTTGGTGTTTTTTTTTTTTTTTTTGCCAGTGTCAAGATATGAAGTGGTAGCACTTCATTAAATACAAGGTATGATACACCTGCTGGGTCTGTCTGAGTATTCAGAAAAGGTAATGATTATCTGCTGCAGCCTGAATGGATCTCTGATGAGCTGGTTTGAAAGGGCTTTTTAGTGTCAGCACAACTGCCTACTCAAACCACGTTGCATTTGACCTTGGCTTGACATGCTGATGTTTGAGGGGTTTTTATCTATCCAAGAGAACATAGTAACCATACTTATTAGTTGCTTCCCTGCTTTCTATTCGTTTACTTTGGTTTATACTTAAGTTTTATCTTTAGGTGAAATATGAGCCTGCCATGTTAACGGAATTACTGTAAAAAAGCAAAGCCTGTTTCCTCTTCCACAGAGGAAGGGCAGTTTTTCTTTTTCTTTTGTGTTTTTTTGGGGGGTTGGGGAGGTGTTCAGATGTCAAGAGTAAGCTTTTGTGGTGGAAACATGAAGGAATTTGTTCTCAAAAGGTAAGGGGTTTTAATGTCTGAAGTCCACGTGTTCCTTAAAATACCTTTCAGTGTGAACTTGCTGTTGACTTGTATTATAAACCAGAATATTTTTTTTTTTACGGACTATTTATTTTTAGGCATTCTGTTGCTTATTCTTGTTTCTGTAACAGCTTTTGACATGGAAGAACAGCTCCTTAGGTGGTTATTGCTATAAATGGTAACCATTTACTAGTGTTCAAGTTTCACAGAAATCTCTCTGAGGAGGAGGAGGAAAAATCTATTTTTTTTTTCTCTGTACTGAATAGGTTAGCAAGTGTTACTCTAAAACTTGGCAATTTCAATACCAGATAATGTTTCCTGGGAGCAGGGAACTTGCTGCTGGGACTAAAATGGTCTAGCAAAACGTTCCTATTTTGTTACTGTTTGTTTTATGGACTCATCTTCTTCCCCTTTTGTCATTTTTCCCCTTAAATAAAGATAATTTTTATGGTGGGACGAGGATACCTATCTCCAGACCTCAGTAAAGTACGGAGCAACTGTCCAAAAGCTATGAAGAGACTAATGGCAGAATGCTTAAAAAAGAAAAGAGATGAGAGACCCCTTTTTCCACAGGTGAGAAATGTTCCTCTTTAGTTCTCAGGAGACTTTACAATTCAAATATTAAAAATAAAGATCAGTTATGAACTCACTGGCCAGTTCAAAATTTTTTTTATAAATGCTACAGCATGACTTCAGAGGAATACTGGGTCAGTACCCGGTTAGTGCTGATTAATTAGAAAAGTTTATTTTCAATTCAAAAAGCCTGTATTAAAATGACTTGTGGAGTTGGCAGAGCACTTACGTATCGGAGAAAGTTTCAACCAGGAGATAGTGAAATTAATAATCACAATTAGACACAAATTAAACTTGGTGTATGTTCTCAGAAATCTTTAGAACTCCCCCCCCACCGCCCCCATCCTTGCTGTCCCCCCAGCTTTATGAAGGGCAACTGGTAGTTTTGTCACAAAACTTGATTTATTGTGCCTGCTGAGGAAGGTTTGGCTTCTAAAAGCTTGGACGGGGACCTCATTTTTTTTTTTGTTGTTGTTGTGAATGTAACCAAAGCGTTTTCAAAAAATAAGGAGCTCCCCCTGATGGCTTTATGGTCAATGGTATTAAGCAAACTGCTGCCAAAGCTGTTTATTTGCAGCGATGGTAGGTAGGGGTACTGGTGCATAAACAAAGAAGCAGATGAAAGGCAACTGTATTCAGTGTGCTTACGGAGGGAAATCAGTATGCCCCTTTAGAGGGGAAAATGAGACAGTTTCGTCCCAAAACGTCCTTTTCAGCTTTTTGAGGATATAAACAGCAGAGTGCAACGCAGTACTCTATTTTTAAAAGTTTCTGTTAAAATCTGTGTATACGTATTTTTCTGTCGTTAATTGATGTTCTGCCTTTGGTTTTGAGAGCACGTTACGCTTTGGAAGAACAGATTTGATCGCTTATTTTCTACTTGTTTTAGATTCTTGCCTCCATTGAGCTTCTGGCCCGGTCATTGCCAAAAATTCACCGCAGTGCATCTGAGCCCTCATTAAACCGGGCTGGCTTCCAGACAGAGGATTTTAGTCTATATGCTTGTGCTTCTCCAAAAACGCCCATCCAAGCAGGGGGATACGGTGGGTTTCCAGTGCACTGAAAAGAAATGTGAAAGCGTGTGCCTGTGTGTCTGTGTGCTGGCGTGTTCCTGTGAGTGCAACACATGTGTACGTTCTCCGTTCCTACCGGCTGTGGTTTTCAGGTTTACTGAGGGAATGAAGACACGTTTCCTAACGCTGGGCATTGAATGTCCTGAGAACAAAGTCTGTGTTGGTGAGGGACGCCCTGGGAACAGCTGGCACAAGAAGAATTATAAGGTCGCGTGAGGGAAGTGGGAAAGTCACAACAAAACAAGCAAAAATCCTCTTGTGGTCATTGGGTGTTATTTTTTGCTCGCCTCTGTCATTTTTGCCTAGTTCATTGACTGGAATTAGTTACTCAGGAGTGTATTTGATTTAAATCTACTCAAGCTTTGGTGTTTGGGTTTTTTCTACTTCAGTTGAGGTCGTTATATTTGAGCAATAGGCTTTAGAGTCCTCAGTAATGCTACTCACGTGGGCAACAAGTGGAAAAATAACTTCAGGGCTGAGCACAGTCAAACCTTCTCGTGGTCAACAGAAGTGAGCAGATACAACACGGAATCAAAAGACAGACCTTAGTGACCTGTGACTCGTATTTTGAAAGTTGAAGTTTAAAATATTGCTGTTTGGAGAACATCTCTTCCTGCAGAGGAGTGGCGGCGTGGGGATTTTTTTACTTTTTATTTTTGCCTAAATACTCTGACCTGCTGTAGTTTAGACCATCTCAAAATGTTCTATTGCAACGCAACATAGAAAAAATTCTGAATCTGCTTTTGCTGAACTGCAAGAACATTACTGATAGTGGTGCCTGTATCCTTCAATTAGCACGGATTTCAAAAATTAAAAACCAAAACCCAAACATTTTAGATCTTGAGCATAACCAAATACTTTAAGACTAAAAGGCTGCTAACACCCATAATAGGAAAAGAATATTTGAAAAGGCAGTTGTTTTCATGGGAATCAGTATTATACCATGAATTCTGTTAAAATGAAAGGTTTTAATTACTTTAATATTGTTAAGAATACCACTGAACATGCTTCTGTTCAGTGACAAATTGTTTTTTTTTTTTTTCACTTCTATATAGAAGCTGCTATTTTGCTTAGAAGTGAATGGGTTAGACCCGATACCTAACTGAGGAAGCTAGACACCTTACCAAGATCTTGTCAGCTCACTTCAAAGATTGGGTTTTTCTCCGGAGCTGGTACCTCAGGGTGGCGGTTCGGGGGACAGCAGTCTTCGATGCCAGATATGAGAACAGTAATGTCACTGACTCTGTTCGTGCATATTTTGAAATTAGTCGTGTGGTTTTGTTTGTTTTAAACGGCTGAGCTATTAATTTTCACAGATTTTCCTGCATCGGAAATAAGCTATTGCTGCTCTTGTTAAGACTTCAAGGGTCAGGAATGTTCTTGATGGCTTCTGGTTTACCTGCTGGTGGAGGACTTTGCAGGTTGCTAGCAATGGATCAGAAATTCAAAAAAGGTTTTCTCTTCTGCTATGTGGCAACTGAGCCTTTTAAAACAGGAGGCAGAGGTAGAGAGCTTGAAGAGATGTAGGCAATTGCTACATTTTCTGGCCAGATTCTAACGGTCTTTTTGGCTTCTGCTGTTGGAACAGTTTGGGAACTAACTTTTCTCATGTTGTTAGTCAAGAAAATTCAGCTGTTGAAATCTATCTCTGTGGAAATAGTTACGGAGGACAAAAGTTGTTACCGTTTTAGCGAATCTGTTTCTCATCTTTCTGGTAGCTTCACCTCATTTTGGCAGGCTTATCTTAAAAGGAAAACAGGATTTAAGTAGTTTTTCCCCCTCTTATTTATAATTTTCTTTTTTATTCTAGACACTGGGGGTGAATGCTGCTTAAGCTTTGGGGTATAGTATTCAGTACAGATGACAATGCCCATCTGAGTAAGAGCAGGAGGCTGCTCCTGGGTCTCCTGCAGAATCTGGAAATGCAGGATCCCACGCAGCAAAGGCTTAACCACACAGGGAGTTACAGAGAGTGCAGATCCATCATCACTGCCCTGCCCAGGCTTACTCTTCAGGCCAGCCAGATCAGTTCCCACAAGTTACTCCTTGGAGTAGTGGTATCCTCCTCGTTGTTCAAATTGTTCTTGTGTGCTATGGGAACTACAGTTATTGGGGGGGGGGGGGGGGAATGCTGCCATCCTCAGACACGTTTGGCCCCACTTGCTGCTTTGTGGGCAGCGCCTTGGGCTTCTTCCCAGGTCACCTGCTCTTCCACGTCCAGCACGGTTTGGGACCCATGGCCATAACAGGGGGCTTAGCTTCTCACTAAACAAACATTTTATGAAGCCTAAAAGGAGGCTGGTTTTTGTGGATCGTTAACTTTATCTGACATAAAAGCATTTAGGGCTTTAACTGCCGTAGTTGGTGATTGCTGCTTCAGTGAGATACGGGAACGTATGTAGGATGAAGGTCTCTTAAGTACACGTGTGGATTTGGGTCAGCATTCTCAGAGATGAAACTCAGCTATATTGTTTAGAAACAGATACCTGTCAGTCCCGAAAACAGGTCTGTAGGATCCCAGGCTTTTCTGGAGGTGTAGTTTAGACTATGTGAGATTCTGGTTTTTGTTTGGTTTTTTGTTTTTTTGTTTTTTTTTTTTTAACTTCCCTGCATCTCAGTATAGAAACAAAATCTGTCTTGGTACTTTCTAGAAGGACCAGATCCTCATAAACACTGTTATCCACATCAGTGTATGTTCCAAATTTTATTTAGCCAGTGTATGTTATCCATACTAGAAGATCCAACAGAAAGCTTCTTCATCATACTTTTTCTGTGTCTGTGAACGTAATCCAGGCAAGGTGTTGGAACTTGGTGTTTCCCTTTAGGTCAGTTACTCTCTACTTCGGTAGACAAGGCTGGCATGGGCCTGGAAGGGAACCATTCTTCTTACGATTCTTCTGAGAAACATGGTATCTACCCCAGGATAAAGAGTACAGTTAGGGTGTTGTATACATACCGTAGTAACCTCACGAGTCCAGGTAACTTACACATTTTTGAGAGTAGAGATTGGTAACTGCATCCTCAATCCTTCCAGGAATCAGGGGCAGCAGGCTTGCTCCGAACATGCCTTTATAATATATTGTTTGGACACAACATGGAAGAACTCGATCATCTTTTTAGTACAGAATTTTGGAAAGTGTGCATTCAAAATAGTTCCCACTCGCTTTGCATGTGACGAGTGTGAAAAGACTGTAGCAACTGACGTGAAAGGGTTCTGTAAGAAGTGTAGGTTTTCAAATGCTATCCATCCTTTGGAAGGGAATTCTTCTGTTACCAATCAAAGCAAGTATCTGAAGTTCTGCTTGGTAAAAAGCACATCAGATGTCTGGCTCACAATGAATAAAAACGTCTGTTGTTTTTTTGGGTTTGTTTTTTTTTTTTTTTTTCACATCCCCAACCTCTAAGCATGTGGTTTCATAGCTCCATGGTAAACTGATCTCCTTTGGGGCAGCCGTGGCCCAGCTCCTTCCCTTGCACTAACGGGTGCTCTCCAATTCCACGTGTCCGTTCTGAGCGGCCGAGCAGGTTCCCCCCACCGTCACCAGGGCAGCTCTCCAAAAACTGGTTAGAAAACTCTGCTTGCCCCCCCCCCCCCCCCCCCCAGCCTGAGCTGGCGTTTGCTGGGTCAGCTCCTTGAGCCGTCCGGCCTCGGGGCCAGGTCGTGCCGGCGTGGCACACCGGGCAGGTCGTTGCTCTGCAGGTCAGGTCAGGAGGGAGCGTGGGCCTCCAGCAGTCCCAGTGCAGGTGAGCACTGGCCATTCCGGAGCTGCGTCCCAAGACGTAGCAGGGCAGGATGGGGATGATCCTGTTCCCGCGTGGTGGGGTGTACTGGCTCACGCTCCTAAAGCTCTCGTCTTCTTGCCCGTTCCCTGATCTCAGGGAAGACCTTCCCGTCCGGCTAGAAAACGGTGAATTCAGTTTCAGGCTGCTTCATTTGTCTGTACGCATCGAAGTCTCAGGGGGAGGTTGCCCGTGGTCTCTCTCCCTCCCCTACAGATGATGTTTCTTTTAGAAGATAAACCAGCTACAGATATTTTGCGTCTTCGGAACAGAAAGGGCGACATGAAGTGTTTTAGCTACTCCGCAGAAGGACCTGTTGACACCAGGCAGGGTGGAAGATTCCTGTTTGTGGATAAGCGTAGCCACCTACATTCCTCGCCTAGGGAAGGCTGTTCCTGCTCGCCGCATCTTGCACGTGTTCAGCTGGCACCATTATTAGATGCACGTGTTACCTATTTTGGTCTCCTCTTGATTTGAGATTGAATTGGCGCCTGAATTTTGAAAGGGGAACTTTAGCATTAGCTTGTCAAAGAAAACGTCTTAGTTAAATGGCAGAAAAGTCTGAAAATCACATTTTTATAGCTGCCATTCTGTCTGAAATGCTTCTTGATTTCTGACCCTGTTTTTTCCATTGGCCTTTCCCAATTAATGGTTCATCTTTTATCTTTTGAAATCCCTGCACGACTATTAAAAGGTGAATTATTACCAGAAATGGGCAGAAGGACAAGATGAGTAATGAGGGAGCAATCTCTTGTTTATAAATTGATCTTTAATCAGCAGTTTAGGAAGGCAGACTGAAAAATAAATTAAGTAGAGCATGTTTTGAAAGCGTAGCTAAGCGTGAATGTCGTTCTTAAAAATTAGCCTCACCGGCAATACTTGATGACTTTTCTGTCCTTCTTCTCTTAAAAGAAAAAAGTACAAAACTTGAGATGTTTCTAGAAGCTAATGGGAAGAGAAATGGGAGATTGGTGAAATCTGCCAGAGGGAAGCAAGAAAAAATCATCAGATACTGAGAGTATTTGAGAGCACGAGTTTTATCTGTTGGTAGAACTGGTAAAATAGGTGATAAGATCCATTGTCAAGTTTTCTTTTGTTGTTAAAACCTGCCACCACAGCGCATCAAGACACACGTAGAGCTTGAGGTTCTGTCGCAGCCCCCGGCGCCTGCCACCCTCACTTCTAGACCCTGGGTGTACTCCCTCCTCCTTCCCTACGATGCAGAGCACCCTCTCCCCACCTTCTTCGTGCTCCCTTAGACCAGCTGTCCCTTCCGCCCCGTCCTTGTGCAGACTGCTGATCACCCGTCTCGGTTCTCTTCTTTGTAGAGCAAGGCATTCCGTGGAATTAACGCCATCAGCCTGGAATTCTGTTTGCAGGGACGTTTCTGGTTTGGTTCCAATATTCAGAATAAGAATCTGAAGACAAAGCAGAGCCAGCGAAACACTTGCTCTTGAGAGGATGGAAGGACCCCGGGGTAGGGAGCAGCTGTTTGGGTATAATGGCGTTCAACACGCTTCATTGAACAGAACCAAGGGTCTCTCGTGCCCCTTTCTCACTCCTTCATTATTAGGAAGAGCTCTGAGGAGTGCTGTCAAGAAAGGGGCATCAACTAACCCAAAAGTCACGTGAAGCCCAGCACGGGGAAGTTATACGTTACATTTCTTCTTCTCTTGCTCCTGAGTCCTTTTGGTTAAGCACAGTTGGGACACCCTTTCCTAAAAATCCTGCAGAGTACAATTTCTTTGTGGGTGTCAGGGCAATTTTTTTGGCTGAAGCACAAGATCAGGAGGATGAGTGTCTTGGATTCAGCTTCCGTTCAGTGCTCGGGCAAACTTCTTCAGGCGCTGGGCAGCGGTTGGGCTCTGTGCCATAGTTTCATCATCTCCGAAACGGGACTACCAGTCTGCCTCGCGGCGTGCTGACTCTAAATAAACTGTGTAGAATTTCAGGACGTCACTGGATGTGAAAGCACTGCGTGGAATCGTTGTTTGTTCCGTAATTCTGAAGGGAGCACGGGGGTTGCTTTATTTGTTGTGCTCTCTATTAGTGAGGCCTAATTTCTGGTAGGGGAGTGAGCAGGCAACCTCACCATTCTTATTTTTCTCACAGTAGGTTGTTATGTTGGTCTCTAAACCAGATCCCAGCGTTCTTTAATACTGGTTTAATATTCAGGCACTTTACTGTATATAGGCTTGAAAGGTTAATGGGTGTGTCAAATAGTCTTTGTTACTGAACCAGTTTTACACCAGAATAGAAATCAGTTTGCAGCCTGACGCGTTTATTGCCATTGTTGCTTTTCAGGAAGATATATGTGCAATAAGGAGTTTAAAGTGAAATTAAATTGACTCTTTTATTTTCAAATGCATGATCGGTTGAACTGGGCTTTAACTTTTAGACCTCTGTCTTGGGAAGAATGGGTACAGCTTGCTTTAAAGAAATTCTTTTTCGGTAAAATACGCTGGGTCTGTATTCAATGTTCTCTCGCTATGTATTCTTTTGTGCTTGAATTTTAACAGTTTGCATTTTTTAACATCTTTTATATTCAACCTATTGTCTGGAGAAAACCTCTGACCACCTAGTCACTGAAATCACTTTTTTAAACCAAGCTCTTGTCCTCCCTCTACAGGAGAATTTGCAGCGTTCAAGTAGCCACAGCACCATGGCAGCACCCACTCTGTTCTTTAAGTCTTGTGTTCCTACAGTTTCTTAACATCCAAACTCTATTCTGCTCCGCCAGACCTAAAGTAATTTAGAAAAGATATCCATAAGCTTAAAAGCGGAGCAGAATGGAACTGCCAGTCCAACACAATGGGAAAACGTACCTTTCTGGGAACCAGAATCCTCTGCTGCCAGTGTTCCTCCTTCAACACAAACCACCGCGCGTTGGGAGACCCGCAGTGGCCGCCTGTGCCCTTGGCATCATTCCCGGGAGAGAGGAGAGGGCGCTCGTGGTTTGACCGTGGTGCTCGGGCGTGAGGGGATGGAGCTGCTGCTGCAACTTAGGAGACTTGGCTTTGGATGCTCTGCCGGTCGGCTTGCTCCCTCTAACAGTGTACCAGCAGAGGCTGAACATCTGACGAGTGCTGGTTTAAACGAATCATCCTCCGTTCTGCTCCTTTCTTCCCTGGTGTACTCACTGATTTGTGGACAACGCAGTATCCCCTTTTCGCTGTGTTACAGTGTCAAACGCCTAAAACCTGCCTCTGTGATTGGGTTTCATTCCAGTAAAATTGAAAGTGTGGGGTGATGGGAGCTGGAGAAGATGTTACTCTACAGGCGAAGAGGTTAATCTGAAGGAAAAGGGGATGCTGCTGCACCTTTTTTCAGATTTACTATATCACTTCTTCAAAAAAAAAAACCAACAACCACCAACCTTAACCTTTTTCCTTTTCCAGTATTTTCTTGGTGTGTGCGTATACAACATCTTTAAGAAGGATTAGGTAGATCCTTCTTTTGTTGGTCCAGCAACAAACTGAAGTTTTAAACAAACAAAAAAAAAAAATGTAGCGAGATTGTCCTCTCTTTTATTTTTTTTTCTTTTGTATCATGTGATACAATGTATTTATCCAAGATGCTGCCGGAGCATCTGAAGTCTGTAGAGTTCCTGATACAGACTGTGAATGGTGTATGTACCTACTTTAAAAGTTTTATTTTAAACGAGGGTGCAGGTTAATGCCAGGTACCTTACCAATATGTAATGTTTTCATAAATGGGGAAAAAAGTTCTCAGGTTGAATTGAATACAAATACAAAACCCCCTAGAATTAGACATTCCGAAAATTATGTTTTGGTACTTTCAAGAGCTTTTTTTAAAGGAATTTTATCCTGTTGACCGAACGTCCTCTGATAAGTGTGTGTGGAACTGTGGAGCATCTTGTCCTAATGGCAAGTTGTTAGATCAAAACAAAACGGTACTTGCTGGATCCACGCTGACTACTTCTCCTCTCATTGCTTTCTCCCCTGTCATCTCTCCCCTTCCATTTTGTCTTTCCCTTTTGTACACTTTGCAAACTAGGATGAAGGTGGCGGTATCTCCATCAGAGTGCTTTGTTTTCCTGTCCTCCAATCCTGGTTTTCAAATGGTCGGTAGCTTTTTGACAAGTTACCCAGTCAGGGAAAAAAGAAAAAAAAAAAAAAAAAAAACACAACTCATAAAGTTCTGCACATCCTTTACCTCTAATAGAATATCTTGTGATGTGATCTGTTTGCAGAGTTCTCTGGTATGTGGTATTACATGTAAATTATTTGTACAGAGGCAAGTCAGACCACATTAGAAAGAAATTCAAGCTCAAACAGAAGTTTTCAGAAGTTTATTTGTATCTGCTCTGTACCACTCCAGGTGAGGCGGGAGGACCGACCCCCCCCCTCTAGCAGGGAGGTTCTTGCTGGGGGTGGGGGGGATGTTAAAACAAACTCACGACGAATAAATGAAGGAGTTTAAATGTGTGTGAATGTGGTGCCCACGTTAAACACGGGGTGTGTGGGGTGAGGACGCCGCCCTTCCCTCCCGAGGAGAGTTGGACAGTGTCTGCCCGCGGAAGGTTGCTCCCAGGCGCAGGGAGAACGTGCTTTTAAAACCCTGGAGTTCTGTGGTGGTGCTGGTAGCCTGCTGTGTTTGTCCGTAAATAGTGACGGGGGTTCTGGGGACTGGACTGATCTGAAGTGGGAATTGTAACTGAAATACTGTGTATTCATATTAATTCCACAAACATTAGCAAGACAGCAATAGTGAATGACTTCATAGTCACTACAAGAACTGAGCGATTCATGTTGGTACATGAATAGAGTTGATTTTGTGTACAGGATGCGTTTTACAAACAAACAAACAAAAGCACAATTTTTTTTCTTGTCTGCTGTGGGTCTTCAGATGCTGTAAGGTTTTTTGGTTTTTTTTTTTTTTTTTCCTGATTGAGCTTGGCAGAATGGAAATGGTAGCAATAGCCACTTCCCGGCGTGGGGAAGGCGGGGGCTCCCGGGACGTCGCCCGAGGCCGCCGGGCTCGGCAGGCGGGCGAGAGCATCCGCAGGTAACAGCCCCCCCGGGGGGGTGAGGTGGTCATGGCTCGTTCCCCGCTCAGCCCCACGCGTGGCTCCAGCCCCTGGGTGGGCTGCGGCCCTAAGGAGCGCGGGTCGGGGCATCCCGGACAACAGCCTTCTCCCCAGAGAAGGGGTTGTGGGAGCAAGCGCGCGCGGGCGGTGCAGGAGTCGTTGGTGTCGCAGAGCTTGCTGCCAGCCCTCCTTCCCTTTGCAGGGTCGGGCTGGCAGAAGACCGTCTGCTAAAATGTAACCGTCGGGAATTTCATCCTATCTTTGCTTAGAACTGGTTTTTGTGAAGATTGATTACCCATTAGTCTACAAGACGCTTCTTGAGCCTGTAGGAAAAGCACAAGGAAAGTTGCCATCCTTGTCCATGCAAAGCACTTTATAAGTAACACGTGATCTCGGGGGGGGGGTGTTATAGGGGTTTGTTTGTTTGTAGCTTTGTTTTTCTGTTGTGGGGTTTTGTTTTGTTGTTTTGTTTTTGGGGTGGTTTTTTTTTTTTTTTTGGGTTTCATTTTTTTTTTTTTCCCTGAGGAATGTGCAAGTTGTTTGGCTGCTGTTTAGAGAAGTCCTTTCAGGATGCGTTTCCACTGGTTTTCCTGTTTGTTGTTCTCACTGCAGGTAGCTGTAGTAATGTGTGTTCGTTGTCCGGCAGGGGTCCCACCTAATGCTCCTGCATAAACCGTGGGAGACAGTTTGTAAATAATTGGGATGATGATTTTTTTTTTTCATCTTTCCCTTCAGGAGTTTTTCCGGGTGTCTTGCATGCCAACAGAACCGGGTCTTGAAGGTGCCCCGTAGATGTTTAGTGACCGGGGGAGATGAGAGTAGGCGAGACCGCAGTGCCCTGTGTAGCAGCGGGACGAAGGGCGTGAACTGAAATGACCGATAACGCTCCTGTCCGTTGCACCACATCCCTTAAGCTTCTCTGTGGTGTCCCAAGCACGTGCCACGGCACGGGAATGTTGGTACATGTTTTGTGTGCGTGTGTCGGGACCCGACATCTAGGCAAGTCACGCTGCTTTTGGCTCTACGGCATCTCATACCTAAATTATTCACCAGTAGCCAATCCCAGCAATTCGCATCTGTCTTAACCACACATCCGCCTTCCCCTCTGCCTCTCCTTTTCCGTGCTGTTAGAAGAGGCCTGGTACCTGCTGCATCTTCCCTCTCAGTAGGTGGTTGTTTCCTGCGGGGGATTTGCTGGCACTGAAATGTTGGAGTGGAGCTTAACCCAAACAGTGTGAGTACAGAAACCTCCTTGGTTTGGAAGCCATTTCGGCGTGAGTGACGTCCTACGTGGCCCCAGATACAGTCAGCTCAGGCATTTTTCTTTTTTTTGCTGAACTCATGCAGGTCATTAAGTGAATCTACTTCTGCTTCGTAGGTTTACCTAAAATCATCTTTTCTTGCACTTGAGCACTCTAGCAGCTGGGGATGCAGCAGAACGTTTGCAGCCAAACGCTGCCATCTTCTCGTAGCCTCCCAACATCACTTGGATTAGTTTATGCTCCTTAGAGGCAGAATTTGGCCTTAATATAAAATGAATGAAATGCTGACTGTTGATAAATACGTATTTCCAGAAATCAGGGGGAAGAATACACTGAAGATCATGCATAATTAGGTTTGCTCCCATGCTTGCCTGGTGATGTAAACGCATCCAGCATTTTACAGAACATTTGGGGCAGCCAGATCCCCAGAACCATCGCAAACAAGTACAGGTTGAAGTTTTGAAAGTTGGAGGGGCTCAATTTAGGGAAGGAGCACGTAGACATTTCACGCTCTTGCAGCCTATAGATTTCATTCCCTTCTTGACTGTGAGTGCAGCGTGTGTAGCACCAACTATTCATAGTACTGTAGACCACGCGTCCTGTGTCTGTTGAGAAAAGCATCGCCGGTGGCAGGATGCGACAGGCAGAGCTTGTAGGGACAGTCAAGTTCAGTTAAAAAGCAGTTGCACGAGTGGGCTGTTACGGCCTCGCTTGGAAGGTGCTGGGTGCTCTGGTTTTGTGTTACACGTTTTACCTAGAAGTTTATGAAACGAACTTTCTGCTTACTGCAGCCTTGTTAATACGCGTTTGCACTTCAGGTTTGCTTTGGCATGCATTTGAAATACCTTTCTTCATTGCTTCATTACTACTTACCTAGTAAATAAAATTATCAGAAGAGCAGAGCGAAGTTGTTAAAACTTTATCCTTGCATTGAAGTTTCAAGGATGCTAACACAGAAGCTACTAAGTCAGCACCCGGACAGCAGTAAATAACTCTGAAACTGTGGAAGGAGGAAACTGTAAAAACTGCAGAACGTAAGAGTACACCAAGAGTGAATTCAGGTGAAAACTAGCACATCTCTTTTCTTTAGAAAAGAGAGTTACCAAGACCCTCTGTTAAATGGTTTACACAGAGATCCCCCCAAACAGTCCTTGCGGTTTGCCAAATGATCATGTGCCTTCGCAACCTTACAAAGTCCAACAGAATGTAAACCAGGTGCTTTGTAACTAGAGCAGTGGCTTTGGTTTATTTCTGATGCAGTAGTTTTGTATATAGCTATTACTATAGGTAGGTAGTTTGGAGCTGGTGAACTTGTGTAAAGGAGCAAGGAGGGCAGAGGGCCTTTCCCAAAATACCTGTGATCATTTCAAAGCTGGGAATTGAAGGACACCCGATTCAGTTACAGTGAAGCTGCTGCTTGAAAGCTGCTCTATCGAAAGTGAAATGAGGTTCGTTTTATTTAAAAATAAGCCCTCCTCCCCCTCCAAAGACACAAAAATCTTGATAAAGAAAGGTAATAGGAAGCTCTGAAGAGGCCCAAAGTTACCCTGTCGTAGCATCTTGGCATGAGGAGGTAGATGAAAAAGGAGAGCTAGATGAGGAGATTGGCGGCTGGTACCCACGTAATCAAACTCCACTTGTATCAGACCATCGGGTTGATTCCTTGGCCCAGAAAGTGCAATTCATTTTGTTTTCTGGAACATCAGCAGCTTTCCTTGGTTCATCCTCGGGCCTCTCGCAGTTACTCCTCAGTGGTCGCACAGCCGGTGCGCGCTGACCCGGGAGGTGATGGCAGGTGTCCCCTCCGCTGAGGGACACCCGGTTTGAATGGGATTTCTTCCGACTGCAAACTGGTTACACGGACTTCTGGCAGTGCCTCCGGGCCGCCGTCGTATTTAACCTACTCGTCCACAGAGGACAAATCAATGGGGTTTGGTATTAGTGCTTTCTCAGATCTTTTCTTCTTTGGGGCAAGACGTTGGGCATAATTGTGTATTACAAAGCTATGCCTAAATGCACAGTAGCAGGACAATTTTAATTTGGTTTTGTTCCTTTCGGAAAGCCAAAACGTTTTACTAATGTTCCAGAAATTATCTGGAATCCTTCTACCTAGTCCAAATTCTACCCTAAAAGTACGTGTGAGAAGATGGTATTTTGTCTTTTTTTTCCCTTTTTTTTTTTAAACAAAATTAAAAAAAAAAAAAAAAAAGCAACTATTTCCCTAAGAGCCAGGGAGCTGATGGGAGCGTTTAGAAACTTCTAAACTCCCTCGACATTTGCTTCATAGCATCACAGCAGCAGTGTCAGCTCATCCAGCCTCCTCAGGAGCCAACAGTGGCCTGTCCGGTCGTTCTGTCTAGTTCATCGCGGTTGCAGGAGCTGTGCTTTAGAAAAAACCTTGTGTGACATTGGAGAGGGTAAACCATGAGAAATAACTGTGGGTGTTTTGTTTTGTTTTTTTTTTTTTTGTTTGGGTTTGGAAGATGGTCGGGTTTTGTTTTGATAAATGTCATTGTGTTACGTTCGTGTACTCACCCTAGCTGAAAAGGAAATCGTGTCTGTGTGTTGGGGAGTTCAGCGGAGCGTTAGGAGAAATGAAGCCTGCCATCTGGGTGTGGATGTTGGGTCTAGGGGGCAAAATGGACCAAACTTGGGTGTTGGGTTATTTTGGGATGGTGGGGGTTTCCGAGGGCATAATTTAAATTAACTCTGTCTAAAATAAAATGTAAGTGCAATAAATGTGCTTTTTTTTTTTTTTTTTTTTTATTCAAAGCTGTGAACCTTTAGGAAAAAAAAAAAAAAAAAAAAGAAACAAACAAAAAAAAAAAAGCACATCGTTCCTTCATGAGCCTTGTGTCCTACCTGCCTCCCCTTCCTCCCCCCCTCTCCACACTCCTCCCCACCTGACAGAAACCTGACAGCGGCCAACTTGCACGTGTTGGCAACCCAAGCGGACGCCGCTTCCCTTCTGATCTCAGTGGTCGGGATTGGGGAACGTCCCGTCCCCTCCTTCCTGCCCCCCCCCCACCACCCTCCCCCCCACACCTTGAGACAGATCCCTTGGGGGGGCAGCCCTGCCCGGTCCCCCCCCTCCCCACCTCATTTCAGGGGGCAGGACGCCCGCCCCGGGGGGCTCAGGCGAGGGCGGAAGCAACGGGGCATCAGCTGCCCCCCCCCCAGCTCGCAGGCAGCCCGGCCGCCGCTGCCTTCTGTGTCTCTGCCTTGTTTGGAAGGAGCAGGGGGCCGTGCTGGTCATCTGGCGGGCGTTATTTGCCCCGTCTCTCTTTCTTACTCGAGCGCCGGCCGCTTTCCCCGGCTCGGGGAAGGCACGCTGGTCTCCGGGGGGGGGGTCCCACGAGGCCCAATGCGTCCCGTTTCGTTAAAAAGCGATGGAAGGTGCAGCACTCAGGAGCTGGACCCCGTGGGGGAGTAGGAGAGGACTGGCTTGTTTAAAGTTTATAGACGTGCGGATCTATAGCCTTTAAACTGGATTATTTTTATATATAGTCAAAACAATGGCATTACCTCATAATACAGAGGCTTGTTTATGAGAGGCAAAGTATCTAGTAAGGAGAGGAAAGGGAAATTTATATAGATTTGATTTCTTGTTTTTGTTTGTTTGTTCCTTAGTGCAATGAAATGTATGTCCCACCAATTTAAACTCTGTGCTAACACAACATTCCTTTCAGCTGTATTTTTTTTTTTTTTTTTTTTGACCACCAGAGGTTTGTGAGGGGCTTATGACTGCAAAGTAGAAGGTCCAGTCTGGTTACTTAAAAAAAAAACAATTGTGTTAGTAGATTTCCATGGCTGCTTTTTAAAATCTACAATGGAGTAACTGTTTTGAAACTTGTATTTATTTTTTAATTCATAAAACAAAATGTTTATTTTCGGTTTCCTGTTACCTAGGTCACGGCAACTCCCCTTCTTTCATTCTCCAGTTTCCCCTGTAATTGCCAATACAACTTATTTTTCTTGTTCGTTCCTTCCCCTTTTACTTTCGTTGTCCCTTCATTTGTACTTTGGAGTTTTTCTCATGTAAATTTGTACAATGGGAAATATTGTCCAGTTTGGTTAGAGAGCATGGAGACTTAAAACATATTAAAATTTGATAGCTGAATTCAGATTGAAGAAAACTATTTCTGTGTAAAGTTATTTAAAGAACTCTGTATTATATAAAAGGCAAAAAGTTCTATGTACTTGATGTGAATATGAGAATACTGCTATAATAAAGATTGACTGCATGGAAAAGTCTGAAGGAGATCGTTTATCATGTAATTCAAAACTCCTCCTCTCCCTGAAGTTCCACAGGTGCAACAAAGGTGGTTAAGGGGAGTGAAAAATTTACTTTGAGGTTGTTGCTTTAGAATATAACTCAGGAAGTTTAAAAACAAAAAAAAAAAAAAGGGGGGGATCCCTGGAGAGTAACCCTGCTCCCTTCATCCTCCTTACGCCGGACTGCTGCGCTGTGCCCCAGGGCATTTTTACCTTTGCAGAGGGGTTTGCTTCAAGGATTCTTCTGGACTTTGGTAATACCCCGGGGCCATTCCCCTTCTCCCTGGGGAAAGCTTGGCACCAGCTGGTCTGGGCTCTCTTCAGGGTAACTTCCCCTGCTTCCATGGCAGCTGTTACTCCAACTGGTATTAGGTGACAAGATTTCAGTAAAATGTCTTTTAAGTCAGCTTCTCCGTTGTTCTAACACAGACAAGTTTTCTCTCCCTCCACCCTTTTAGTGGTTATTTGGCAGAGCTTTAACAGTGGGATTCTCACCTGCTCTGCCTTGATGGAAGTTTTAAATCATTCTCTGAATGTGGATTTATCCCCTTATTTCTGGGGGGCAGCACATTCTATGTCAAGCAAACATTAAAGACGCTCAGGTTACCCCACCTCTAAAGCTGTAATGTTTACTCTCCAGAAATCCTCCAGCACTTAAAACCAAAGTATCATTGAGCTTAGAGTTTGGTCAGGCTTAACTTTTACTGAAATGTTCCAGGGGCCTCCTAATTCCAGAGACCTGCAAGTAACAGAAGAGAATCCCCAGACCCTTTTCACCCGTCCTTTTCCCACCACCGAGAGCAGGGGAAGGACATCCTCCCTAGTGCCCACGCTGCTTTCTGCAGTAGTTGGGAGCTGTTGGTTTTAGAGCCATAATGTGACACAACAGCTTAAGAGATAGGGTAATTAAAGGATCAGGAACGAGCAAAAGCTTCAAACGTTTAAGGGGATAACTGCACAGGTCTCTCTCTAGAAACAGAGCACATCCTCGAGGTTAGGTAATGCTGGCTCTACTGGACGGAATAAAGAAAATAATTGTGGACTGGTAGCAGGTCAAAAAATAAGTTGTTACACTGCAGGCTTCTGTTGCCAAAACTAGAGTACCAGGACTCGTGTATTTCAGGTACCCGAGAAGAGTGCACGAAGGCAGCAGCCGGTGCAAACGAGTATCTGCATTCCGTACAACAGAGATTGGGCCCCTTGACCTTCGGAAGAGCACAAATACTCGCTGGCAGTAGGGTCCCTGCGGCAGCGCCGGGGGAAGGCAGCCCGTTCGCAGCCCCAGGCCCCGCAGAGCGACCGGGAGCTCCGAGGCGAAGTGAAAACACGACCCCGGACCGCGTGTGGCCTGGCGACTGCGTTTATTGCCGTTGCCCGCAAAGCCGAGCCCCGGGGCGGCTCCTACTCCGCGTCGTCCGGCGGGATGCCGAGCTCCTCGTCCGTCCAGGCCGAAGGGTCGGGGTAGGGGAAGTGGCCCTGGGAGAGAAGCGCCGTCACCGCCCGCCCGCGGCCCCGCTCCCCCGCCCCGGCCCCGCTCCCGCTCCCGCCGGCCTCACCAGCACCATGTCCGAGCTGTGCCAGAAGTGCCAGAAGATCCAGAACCACATGAAGCCGCTGAGGAGCTCGCTCCGGATCACCTGCGCCCGCGTCAGCTCCGGGAACTGCCGGTACCGCGGCTGGATGTGCACCCCGCCGCCCGCGCTGCAACAAACGCGCCGCCTCAACCCACTCGCCCTCGCTCCCGGCCCCCCCCCCGCCCGCCCCACGTCCGGCCCCGCTCACCGCCGCAGCCCGGTCGCGCCGCTCCCGGCCCGCAGCAGCAGCCGCCCCGCCGCCCGCCCCAGCGACGCCACCATGACAGTCCCTCAGCTCCCCTCAATGTCACCACCACCACCTCCCAACAACAGCCACGCTGATTGGCCCGCCCCGGCGCCTACCAACTCCGGGGGGGGGGGGGGGGGGGGGGTCTGCGGGCGGGAGCGAAGGGTGGCAAAGCAAAACATAAGCGAAGCAGAGCACAACGCAGCGTCTCGGCGGAGGTATATCCGCACCTCCGCGCTACCCCCGCCCCGCGGGTGGGCCCGCCGAGGCTACGGGGGCACCCCCGCCTCCCCGCGGCACCGGACGGCGCCAACGCGCTGGCGGCGGGGGAAGGCGAGCCGCGAAAGTGAGTCCCAAAAGATGGCGTCGCCTCAGGGAGGTGACCTCCCCCCCAGCCGTACCGCTCCTCTCGGAGCGGGGGATGAAGGCGACGCCGGCTGCTTGTTTTTAAGGAAGGGGCCAAAGAAATAACCCCCACACGCCACCCCCCCGACACCCCCTCCGGGGGCCCAGCCCACAGCGCCCCGTTGCTCAGCAACGCCGGGGAGGCGGCGGCCCGGCTGTGGGGGGGGCAGGCCCGGCCTCCCGGGGTGCGGGGGGGGGGGGGGGGCAGTGGGGGTGTCTTTCCTGACACGCTGCCGGAGCAAGAGTGAGGAAAAATCGTCCAGCTTCTTCGGGTGAACGAGTGGCGCCAGGTCCCTGCTGTGTGCCTTCCGGGAGGCTCGTGAAAGAAGCGCTCAAAGAGTGATGGAGAAAGTAGCCAGGCAGTCGGGGGGGGGCCCTTCAAGCGATCAGAGTCCCCCCTGCTGCTTCTGACAAGGTATGCCGCTAGTGTAAGATTAGTGCATGCTAATTAGTTCCTCCCGAATCTTTATTGGATGACACTTCACAAAGTGGAACTGGGGAAAAGTTCCTGTGGCCCTCTGGAAGGGTAACCTCGTTTTGCCTGGCGGCTCATTACGCCTGAGCGTTGATTACACCTAAGCTTCGTCTGCGGACGAGGATTTAAAATAGGTTTGGCAGCTCTGTGACAGGCTACACCCGACACCCTGAGCTGGCATATCCACCCTCCTAACTGTACGTTATTTGTACCTTAAATCTCTGCTTGTGAGGAAAGAGCACTTCACATACAGCCCCTGAGCAGAAAGCCTCGTCGCCAACGCTTGGGGTCAAATTCAGGTGTACCTCGCTCTAACTCCATTTACTTTTGCAGGGAAAGGCTCGCCCTGTTAAGTGACTTCATTGAACTTTACAGGCCAGCACTTGAAAAAAAGGTGTTTCTGACAGGTGAAGGTGAACATCCCAAAGGAAAGAACAAATGCCTTGCTTTGATTTTACTTTTTCTTTGCTATGAGACTGTACAGCTTTGTCTGCAGCCCGTGTATCCTGATTCACAGACCGGTGGTGTTTTACTCTCAGGCAGGGGTGGTCAAATACCGTATTTTAAATAAATAACAGTATCTTCTAAATCTGTTGACATCCCAAACAGCTGACTTCCTCAGCTGAAACAGCATAGGTTTTCCATGTCTACCCTGTGGACGTCCTTGTAGTTAAGAGATTTTAAGTTCTGTGTTCTACCGAGTCTTGTAACAGCCCTAATGCATTTTCAGCAACAGCTTACAGGGAGTAGTGTCAAACTGTTCACCCACTGTTTTTACTTAACGCACAATTAATGAAACATGAGTTTTATCTTTTCCCGTAAAAGCTGAACGCTTTAACATAAGGTTCATAGTTTTGTTGTCTGTTCCACCTCCCAACTCTTTTGCATTTTGTCTTTCTCCCTTCTCATAGTCCCTGGCATATTGTTCGCTGTGTCGTCGTTCTCCAACATTTCCCGTTTTCCATCCTGCTCAGGCCAGATGGCTCCACTGCTGGCTTCAACCCGCAAAGGCGACTTTGGCTTCCTAGTCTCGATCCTCACCTTCTGCATTCTTCCTGGACTTCAGCTCCTTCCCTTGACCTTTCAGCTCCCGCGTGCTGGGGGGGTTTGGAGAGCCGCGCAAGAAGCGGGGTGCGAGGGGAGGCAGCTCACACGTGCCCGCCAGCAGCCCGGGCACGGGGGGCACTGGCTGGGAGGAAGGCAGCAGGGCTGGTGTGGCTGCATTGCTCGCGGGGATGGGGGAGGCAGCTCCGGAATCCCCCCCCACCTTGCCTCCTTTCTGCTGCCTGCCTCCAAGCTGCGCCTCGTCCGGAGAAATCCGCGTGTTTTCCAGATTCAAAGCTCTTTACTAAAATCAATTGAAGGAAGGTGAGAAAGGGAAACTGTTCTGATGTAAGAATCACACGCGTAGTGGTTCCTTCACAGTAGAATAAAGTGATGATAGGATCTGAGGCGGGCCAAAATGGAGATCTACTATAGCTTCGTGCATACCTGAAATGACACATTGTCCTTTGGAGAACGCATCTCCTCATGACTGAAGAAACAGTGATGCACCCTCCAACACATCTAGCAGCTGAACAGAAGGCAGGTGAAGCACAAAGGGGGTTTTATCATATAGGTCTTACAATTTATCTTTTTATATTTCTTCTTTCCAAGCTTGTTTTCTTCAAATCAAAACCATTTGTGATGACCTTACAGTTAGACAACATAGCACCACAAGATACGATGGAAGAACTAAAGAGAAAAGTAACATACTGCAAAGTAGATTTCAATTTTATAAATAATGCTCCTGTTTAAGGATTTCAGTGTTCAAAAATCATGCTCATCTTCTGCTTCCACCTCCTCCTTCCCCCCTCCAGGTAAGCTCCATGTCCATCTCCCACGTCCAGTGTTGTCAGGCAGCTAATAAAGATCCCTGTGGCTCTCTGCTGCCAAGATGTCCAGTAACACGGTGAGTTCAAAACCTGTAAAGGGATCGCAGAAAATGCAGAGAAGATAAAAGCTGGGAACCACAGTCAGTTGTTGCAGGGTGGGGTGGGTGTCCCGTCCCATGGGGATTTCCTTTCTTTTCATTGCAGCAAGTTGCAGAGGTTCTGTTGCCAAGGTCTTTGTTACCTGTATTTGTCTTCCACAGCTTCCCTGTTTGTGCATGGAACCCAGGTTCCCTTTGTAGGCCCTTGATATCCTCACCAACAAGGAGCTTCATTGATTCATTCCCAGAGGCTTCCAGTTTCATGAGGGGGGCTCGTGTGTTGGCAAGGAGAGAAGCTGACGGCTATTACTACCTGGGCCACCTAGCCCAAGAGGTGAAGGTAGCTATCTATTGGGAACTGTGCTGTAAGAGGATCTGTGTGTCTTCTGGCTGTTCTTCCCATGCCTCACCAGTCCCGTGCCCTTGCTGTGGGGTGGCTCTCCTGTGATACAGTGCACTTCAGAACTACCCTTGTCTCCCCACGTCCTATTTTCATCTGTTCTCTGATGATGACCGGGTGTTTACTGTGAGGGAGTCCTGCAAGCGAAAGCAGCCTGGAAATCCATCCATTTTAGTAGTCATAATAAGTTGTTATTCAGAGACAATCAAACAAAACTGGTCCCTTATCCTTATTGTCTGCTTCTGCCCAGTCTAGCAGCAAAGTCAATTAGCTAAACAGCGTAATAGTAACCCAAAATGTTTGCCTCCGGGGAGCACCCCCTCCTGACCCAGCTGAGAGCTTTCCTCATTCTTCTCCACCTCTGTGTCTGAGATTTGTGAGACAATTTTGGATGCCAGACAGGAAACCACCCCCTGCAGGCTTTCTTTTAAAACCCAGTTCATTTCACAGCTTGCAGGTTAGTTAAATAAACAGTGATGCTAGGTGAGAATGGCTGTAAGCTCCAGTGGGGGGTGGAACAGATGGTGACAGGTAAAGGCATGAGCCAGGTTATTTTTAATAGGAGCTAACAGCATTATTTGTGTAAGTGCATGCATAGGTCTGCAGAAGAGGCTGAAATTTCAGTAACAGATCTGCCCCACACCCGTTGCTGAAAGCTTAAAGCATTGAAATTTATGACAGTTCTGACATTTTACCGGTTTGTTATCCTTTTGATTACTATGTCATGAACTGCACCATACACAGCAGTTTCTTTTGGCTACTCCTTTTCCGATGGGAGGTTTTCCTGGTAAAGTTCTGCCTTAGCATACTAATTGTGTTCTTATTAAAATCTAAGTATGAAATGAAAGGAAGAGAAAGGCCATCAGCCCCCTAAGCCCCAGCTCTTTAATTACTTTTAAAGTCCAGTATGGACACAGTACGGTGGAAAACCTGGTAGAAGAGGAAAGCTACTTTCCCCAATCACGTTCCGCTTCCTGGGATTTCTGCCACTTCCCTCTTAGCACTTACCTTTGGCCATTAATTGGACCCAGATGTCTGCCTTGCAAACCACCTGTTTTACTCTTGTAGGGCTCCAGGGAACATTTTTTGATTGAGTTTGACAAAAGTCGCGCTCTGAAAGGCAAGGTGCAGCTTGGCGTGCAGGAAACGCCTCTCTATGACATTCTCCACTACGAAGATGCCAGGCAACAGCCTCTTGCTCCAGGCGACAGGGTCTTGGCACCATGGGAGGCTCAAGCTGAACGTTTTGGCCCGGGCACGGTGCTAAAGGTTATGGAGAGCGAGGAGGCACGTTTAGGTATGAAGTACTGGCTTTCCTAACAGAGCTGGGCTCGCCAGGGTTGCTGGTGACTGTACAGAAAAGAGAACAGTCCCACTCATGGAGAATTCACCACCTGCTGCTTGGGTTTGCTTCATCATCTTATTTTGTTGTTGTTGTTGTTGGCACTAAGCAGCCTGTTCTTTTTCAGCGCCAGAAATAACGCAGCTCCCAAAACTGGCCTTTGCTTTGTTCTGTGAGTGGAAGCTTCCTAAAAAAAAAAAAAAAGGAGGGGGTCGGGGGACACATCCTCCCAAAACAAGGAGAAAAATGTTCCTGGCCCTCGTGGGTATTCACCTGATTATCTGTTAGTCTAGTTTCCAGCTCTTGCAAGGGTAAAATCCTGGCTTGCTGTGATGAGTGAGAATTTTGCTATCTGCTGTCTCTTCATAGGAAGTTCAAAAGAGGGTGAAATTTTAAACCTATAAAGAAAGAGTCATGCAAGTTGTTATGAAATTGTCTAAAACACAAGCTGTTACTTTTACCTCTTGCTTTCTAAGAGATAAATCACGCAGGTTGACATGTTTCTAATACATTCTTTGTTTTTGTTTTTGTTTTAAATATGCACAGCCCAAACCAGAAGGAGAGTGCTTGTGAATTTCTGGAACGGGCAGACGAAGGAGGTGTCTTCTGACCAAGCTCTGCGGATTCCTCTGCCCTTAAGTGAACGCATCATCCTAGAAGTGCAGATGCCTTTAGCAGCCAGGCAGATGGTGGTAGATTCGAGCTTGGATTACCCATATGTTGTGGCCCCGGGTTATAGAGCCTCAGGCCAGAGCAGACAGGGTCACTCGGACCTGGACCACTGGCCGAGGGGTCTGTGCTCGACTCAGCCGTGCGCGAAGTGCAGCTGTAGCTGTACCTCGCTTCCCCACTGCTGCCTTGCAGCCTGGGAACCTACGCAGCCTACGGGGTGCAAAGTGCAGCAGGAAGGTGCCTTCGTCCCGGGAACAAGCTTGACTAAAGAAGAGCTCAGCAAGAAAATAGAAGAACAGCTGTCTGAAGTAAGGATTTCATTTTCAGAAAGCGTTTCCGGAGAGGAAGAGAAGAAGGAAGAGAAGAGATTGAAGACAGAAAGTGTTCCAAAAGGTGTTCAGTGCTGTTTGGAAGAGGACCATGAGGTTATAGAACCGAAGAAGGTAAAAAGTGCGTCACTCTGGCTCTTTGGTTAACGTATGGTCTGCTAGTTGTATAATGTCTGCTTTGTTACCTCAAGTTTTCTGCTCTTAGTACCAAAAAATTACTCGAGGTGTTAGGCCTGGCCCTTATGTACGCCTGCTAAAGAATGGATACACTTTGCTCTGCACTGTCTTCCTGACCCTTTGACCAGAGGAAGACCTAGGAGTTGTCACTGTCACTGCCTGGAGCAGACTCCTAGAACCTCTTCCACATATGCAGAAATAAGTGTCTTATAGCCCAGTTTCGCTACATCCTGCCTCTGTGGAAAGGAGGTAAAGGCAGGAAAAATTGTCAGACAGAAGACTTTGCACCAGATAAGGATTACAGTAAGGGTTGTTCCCTACTAAGGCAGTGTATAACATAATCCTGTTAAGGTATTTCTCCACCCTGTTGGAGGCGTCACCTCTCCTAATCAAAGACCAGAAGAGACTTTTGTGACCCTCAGCAGTCGATTTGGTGGTCGCGAACAGGGCCCCGGATGAGGATCAGTAGGGGGGAGGTTAATGTGCACCAGCTACTGCCAAAGCTTTTCTCCACTGCTCTGCAAGGCTCAGAATCCTGACTTCTGGCACGTGCCAGAAACACGACTGTCTTTCAGCCAGAGCCCCTCTGGCCTGATCCCTTTTGTACCAGTTTGGACCCCTCCAGGCAGAAGTACTGCCAGTTTTTAGGTCATTTGAAGATGTAGAGAAACCCATCAAGGGATCAGAAATTACTCTGCTTAAGAGTTCTTTCTTTAGTTCTTTTCGTTAGTAAAGAACTCGCCCAGAGTTTTTGTATTTTTCCTCAAACTTCAGTTGCAACTTAAAATCTTACACTGTAAGTTCATGACCCTGACCTATTCTTCTCCTTATCGGGTCTGGACTATGATTGTATTTCTTGTTATTTCTAGAGTCCTCAGGAGGAGATGGCTCATGCTATGGTTGATCCTGCTGTCAACACAGACAGCTGGGTAACAGAGGCAGCCCACGAGGAAGAAGCAGACAGCAGACAGCAGGATGCTGAAACTGAGGCTCATGTTAAACACGAATACGGTATTGAAATTGTAGCTGTTTTATCCAAACATAAGACTTGCCACATAACATTAGCACAGCCAGCCATCCTGCCTAAGATCTGTTGCCATAGTTCTTGATGTTTCAGAAGAAAATGCCATAATGCCGTGCTGTGCACCCAGACACCATAATGTGGTATCATTATATGTAGGTATTAATGGCAGTATGGCTTTAGAAGTGGTTCATCTTCTCAATGTGAAAATATTTTCAGGTGGAAGTTGGGTTTTTTTTTTTTTGCTTTTACAGCTACTGCAGTCGCAGCTTTGGGGTTTTCTGAACCTTTATCGTAATGCTCGCTATAAATATTATTTATTATAAAATTTCCTTACGTTAAAAAACAAATCTGTAACATTAACGATGGCTGCCTGTAGCAAAACGATTTCACCAGGACTGTCCTGCAGAACACTCCTTCTCTTATCTGTGCTGAAAATGATTGCTTTATAATGTCATTGAGTCAACTTTTTTTCCCTTATCATCCAAAAGGGGCTGGATCATGATTCTAATCAAATTGTTGCTGTTCTCATTTAAGCTAGTTTTGTGACAATTGCAGGCATTTAAGTGTGGATTCGGAAAGCCAAAAGCTTTCTCTAAGTGTTACTGCTTTGCTTTGTGCCGCTGCTGGTAGAGGAGAATGAAAAGTCAAACAGGAGTGCACGTTTCCTGCCAGCTGGTGTTCCAGCATCACTCCACGCAACAACTGCCACTCAGGTTCACGCTGCCTTTAGCAGAAAGGTGCAAGCAAAATTCTGCTCATGTTCTCAGTTACCCAAAAGCTGTGTTAGCACAGTGTTGTGCCCAGGCTAATTTCTCCTCTCTCTCAGCAGGCTGTATAGCTCAGGCTTTGCCCTCTCAAGAAATTTATCATTTTCGCTCGTCTCAGAGCACTGGCAGAAACAGCTCATGTCTGTCTGTGAAATACCATGTAAACAGCCCCTTAGCCTGAGCAGATGTAAGTGCAGTCAGTGATAGTGTGTTATGAGGCAAAACTTCTGCCTGACTACAGTGGCATGCTTTTTTTTTTTGAAAGCTGGGACCTGTTTTGTGGAGACCAAAAAACGTCCCACTTCTTCAGAGGAAAATGTTTGTATTAAGTTATAAAAGTCCTGCTTGAATATATTTCATATGAAAATACTTTTTTTTTTTTTTTTTTAATTTGCTTTCTTTTTATAAGTTGTCTATAACCTTTTATGTCTCTGCCCTCATTTATCTGAAAGGTCTTTTTAAGTCCAGAGTGGCAGAAGCTCCAATCCAGCATTCCAAAAGGAGCCCTTCCCTGGGAACCAGTGCTTTGGTTCCTTTCAGGCACCAAAGCTTATTTGACCGAGTGAATCAATCACTGGAGAAAGACAGCCTGACCATCAAATCAGCTCTACGTGTACAGAGATCACACAGTACCTCCAATGTGCAGGCTAGGAGATCCACAAATCTCAATCTTCTAAAAGACAAAAGTATTACAGTAAGTGTTTGGTCCAAACTCGATTTAGCTATTAGGATGAAGCCGTTTGTCTATGTCATGTGAGCTCATACTCGCCTTTAATCTCTTTCTCAAAGGTTTTTACTGCAACAAAAATTATGCCTATGCAGAATAATGGCTGTGCATAAATAGAAACATAAGGTTTCCACTTGGGCATCAGTGCTGTGCAGGAACATGGCACTTCTGGTATTTTCACTCAGCACCCTTGATAGAGTTTTTTATTTTAGATTAATCTTTTCTAAATAAACTTCTCAGCCAGCTCTACTAGACAGCAACAAAATTATTCCTCTTTTACAGATACTGAAAGAAAAAAAGAGGGAAGTCTAGGTAGCCAGCTGAATCCCATAGCAGGGGGCACATATCACAGCTGGGGTGGAACTTCCAAGTCTCTTAACCCTCAGGCCAGTCCTTCACCTGGTGTAAAACACCATTTGTTCACCTCCCACCTATGAAGCACCTGTGATTCTTTCTTTGATCTCTCCCTCTGTATGTCCTTAAACACAAACCACCCACGAGGTACAGTTTTCGCACCGAACACTGGACAGCAGCGGGGTTTGCTGTCCCTAGGAAGCCATACGGATCAACATGCTGAGAGAAATCAGTCAAAATGCTACAGAAGACTGGCAGGGACTTCATCTGAAGGTCCTGTAGTGTTTTCCAGCTTGTGGTATTAGAGATGTCCTCGGGAAAGAGCTGGAAGGAGACATTCTGTTAGCAGAGGAAGAGCTAGTGGCAGGAACACGCTAACTGCAGCTGGGACTAGGAGGAGGGAGAATGCATTTGAGAGAGCAGAATATTTTGTGGAAACTCTGTTCCAGCCTCAAACAGCCCTAGCGATGTAAACTGGAATGCATGTCTCAGTTTTGGTGAGGTTTCCTTGCTCCTTCCCTCATATGGGACACCGTAAGGAGTGCAAAATAAATAAATATTGCACTGTGTCTGTGAAGAGAAGCCCTGAAGTAGCCTCCTTCATCCCTCTGCACAGCACAGTGCATTTAAAAATGCAAATTAGGAGCACTGCCCAGCATTGAAATGCAGCTACTACAGAAGAAAACACAAAGACTCTTGACTGTGGGTAGAAATCTCAAACGACAAGAACTGAAGAGTTAGTACACCTGCACAGAACTCCAGGAAGATTTTGAGTTTGGCCAGACGGAGGCAGATATTTCTAATAAAATCTGGTAAGGAATCTGTAATACGATTTGTGGTCAGAACTTCTATTTTCCATCCAGTCCAGAAGCTGACACAAAGACTGGACAGTTTTAAGCACTGGCTCAACACTGCAGCAACGAGAAGAGTACAGCCTACTGACCTATAAAGAACTTTTAAAATATTTGGATCTTCAGGCATCCCTTTGTTGGTTAAGACTAATCTTTTGTACAGGTTTTAGCATCCTACTCAGTGTTTTCACAGATGGGAAGCAACACTATGGTATTCATGAGCCAGGGTGGCTTCCAGATCTGAGGGTTGACATTAGATGACTGAACTGTTCTGGTTTTGCAGGTCTACAGTTTGCATTAGAAAAAATCAGTATGATCAGATTAAGGGTTCAGTTTGGGTTTGGTTTTGTTTTGTTTTGTTTTGTTTTTTTTTCTCTTAGAAATCAATCCTTACTGGTGCATCTCAGGAGAGATGGAATGAGATGGACTTCAACGGAGCCAAGATTGAGCACAAAAGGTGGCAAGAGGAACAGAGGCAGCTGAAGAGGGAGCAGCAGCAAGAGGCAGATGGCATCCGACGCCAGCTGCGCAGGGAGAACCAGAGGTATTACCTAGGAGCTAACTAGTGTCACAGAAAATGTTGAAAGGCTGGTAATATCTCCTGCCTGGTGCGCTCATTCAGTCCCTGAGCATCACGTGTTGTGCCTCACACTAGTAGTCTCCACAGAGTGGTCGTGGTGGTTTGCTAATTGATGCCTGAGGTATGGTCAGGTGGGGACACAGGGACCCACAGCCTTCAGCAATCCCTCCAAGGGCAAAGTCCCTTCAGTCTCATCCTCGGACCCAAAGTCCTTTTGCCTCCCAAACCTCTGTTCCCTGGCCCCACAGCCCACTTAAGCTTAGCAGGTCTTTGCCCCCATGACCCACCTCCTTCCATCTCTTCTCTTGTTCCTGTGGCTCCACCACCAATACACACAGGCGCCAGTCCTACAGCCCTGTCTGCACAGTCAGTCCATCCATTTCCTTGGTTCCTGGACTTCAGGGCCAAGAACATACCCCTGCACCTGGTGAAGCAGTCAGGTGAACAGGTGACTGTAGTTAACTGACATCAGGCACCAGCCCAGTTGGGGGTTTTGCCACCTCTGTTTAGCACACAGGCTTAACTCATAAACTAACAAAGTCTTGGAATATTAACTGAGCACAGATTGCTAGGATATCTGCTTTGTGTCTTAGACACTGTCTTTTATTGCTCTTTCTTTCTGAGAAATTTGAGAAATTTTGTTTTGGAAACAGGCAGCCATTGCATCAGAGAACATTGCAAGGGCTGGAGAAACAGCTGGAGCACAAAGACCAAGCTTTGCAGCACATGGCACTGCTCCAGGCTGCTGGGGCAGAGAGGAGCAGGAAGGGATCCTCCTTGCCAGAGGAGGGGAAGAAGGCAAGTCAGAGGCTGCGGTTTGTAAAGACACAGCATTTGCAGAGAGAGTTGTTGCAGGCAGAACGCAACGAAAGACACTTTGAACAAGAGAAAGAAAAGCTGGTAAGGGCAATTTCAGAAATGTTTTTCCTGTACTACTGTGTTTCCAGCAGTGGCACCATTCAGAGTACTTGTCTTTCACCTGTTTCATATCCAGTATAATTTAGAGATACATAAATGAAGGGTGACATTGACACGTATAAAGATAAACGATGGGAAATTAAATTCTCCCTCTCTGTAGTAGAAAGAGCCTTTCTGCATGAAAGGAATGAATTTCCATAGATTATACCCATTTCTGACTTCTGCCGGTGATAGCTGTGGATGAAATTCAGCATGAAAGCTGGCTGTGCAATTGTAAATGTCTTTATTTTTATGTAGGATTTTCTCAGGAGCAGAATGCAGTCCCGGCAGGAAATGTTGGAACAAGAATCACGGGACCAGAACAGGCAACAAAACCAGCACCGGGCTGCCAGAGGGAGAGTGTTCCAGAGCAGAGACCGCTCACACCAAAAAATGGAAAAAGAAGGCCAAAAACTCGGTGACCTCCAGCAGTACCTCAGAGAACAGAATCTTTTGATGCTCCGGGCATCCCTGCTAGCGTAGGAAGCTGCAGAGTGGCTAAGCAGGCCCTTGAGCAGTTCACAGACCTGCTCTGTATCCTGTAGGCGTGAGTCACTGAGTGCTTGAGTGCAGTTGTGACAAGTGGAATGATGAGTCCTGGAGACATCTTCAATCTCCTTCTCATCGCAACCAGGCTGCATTTTCACTGCTCCATCCTTTACGTACCTTTCTTTCTGGAGTTACTGCTCCAGAGAGCCCACCTCTGTCGAACTGTTCTTCTGTGACCCTGCTACCAAGAGCTACCTCGGTGTTTCATATCTATTGAATAACATTTAATATCACAGCCACAGTGCTGAGTTTTTGCTCCCAAGGCATCTGAAGGGGGCAGCTCTTTCCCTAGGACTCACTCCAAGGAGTCAGCTCTCACAGTGCTGGGTGTTGTAGTCTGAGGCTGGTGAAAGTGTCATAGGGCAACCCAGAGCGGAGCAACAGAGGACCTAGGAGTTAGTTACAGAAGTGACTGGAAGGGCACAAGATCCAGAGCCTGGCAGAGGGGCGTCAGCTTGTAGCTGCTTGCAAGATGCAAATGAAAGCAAGCAGCTAGTTAAGTGAGGGCATGGGCCATACACTAAAGGAGGAGGCGAAGAACAAGAATGAAGGTCAGGAGAAATGCCCTGGGAAGGAGTGCCTCAAGTAAAGTGGTGCAAGCCCAGGCACAGGTTTATGTCCTGCTGATACAAGCCTGCAGGGAAGTAAAATACGGGCCTGAAAAGGCTTCTGCTGCTGAATACTGGGAACCTTCTGCCCTGCTGTGTTTCTTCCAGAGCAGCACCAGAAGAGTGTATTTCTTTAGGGTCAAGTACCACATAAAATAGGACGTGTACTTATGTTAGGCTGTCACATGGCTTACTTGATACGTTAACGTTACATTAAATAGGGGGAAAGAGAGCTGAATACCAGCTGGATGTTAAAAAACCCCCAAACCTGCAGCACTGAAAATGTACACGCTAAAATAACAATGTAAATTATCCACTGCATTTCCATTATTGACAACTGACTCTTCCAAGTCAGTCAAGATCCACAGGGAAGAAGTCCCCATATATACGAGACAGTTGTGCTACTTCCTGCCAAAACTGCTGTAGGGGACAGAGCAGGGACCCAGTGACACGAGAGGTGCTTCAGAAAACCTGGTAAGACAACTTGGAACCCTCCAGCTTGCGCTGCAGGTAAGTGTAGCTTTTCTGCTGTCAGAGCGTACGTACTGCTCGGAATACCCAGGCCACTCCCCTGGAGGAGGAATGACTGAGAGAAGCCCAAAATGCAAAAAGGAAGATTTTTGATTTTGGTGACAAGTCGCCCTTTCTAGGCACTGTGATGAGAAAAACATCTGTTCTGTGAACTACCTGTCTTCGGAGAAGCACCAAACCCAACAGTGGGCTTGGGGGCTCTGTTTTGCCTACAATGACGCTTGCAGGCTGGCAGTCTCTAAAACCAGGCAATCTTCCCATCAGAAAGATACTCGGATATCTTTGCAGGTAGGGCGCCTGGTCGGAATAACCAGACTTTTTGTTCACCACGAATAAACGAGGGGAATGCTACCAAGGCAAATGAATCGATAAACTGACAGTTAACAAATGGTGTATGAATCCAAGGGAGCCAGCAGCGCTGTAGGAAAAAGAGTTCCCTGTTCAGGCTGTCGGGTAAAACGTGGTTACCACCTGGAGTCCGCAATGCAACTTGCTCACGACTGTCCAGGTGCGTTTCTGACTTTCCTTAGTGAAGCACGGGGCATCAGCCACACCTGGGGACAAGCTACCAGCCTCTCCCCTTCCCTGAAAGGGCACAGCAAGGCACTTCAAGAGACAATTTTCTGCAACGGGAAAGGAGAGAAGGTTGAATGCATTGTCCTTGGATGAGTGAAGGTGCCTTCATTCACACAGAGGAGGAGGAGGTTATGCTTGTCACATCTTCACCAGAGGCACAAAATACAGCTGCTGTGTCACAGAGGATGCTATTATCAGCTTTGAGTAGCTGGAAACGTAGCTGCTGTTCTCATGTGGGGATTTAGGAAAGGAGAATGGACACGGCCCAATTTATTTGCTGGAGCAGTCAGAGCTATATTTAAGGATGTCCTTATTTTACACAAAATTATGTTAAAATATATATAATACTTGCAATACCTTAAGTAACACCTAAAACCAAACTAGATACAAAATTTAAAAGTTGTTGCCTGACATTCTGGGTCCACTTAGAAATACTTTACACGTTTTCTGGCACATCACTCAGCAAAAAGCCTAAGTAAAGTATTACAGAAATTCACCCTTTTTACAGGAACACAGCACCAGTGACAAGAGCAGTTTCTAAAAACCAATCTAAAAATTAAGAAAACTTTTAGAAGGGAGCCTCTTTGAAATTCTGCCAAATCTTTCGAATGGCCAGCAGTTTCTTAGCAATAAATCGCAGGCTGTGTTCCTCCAGAGATAACTGAGAGGCTGTCTTCAGCTTTCCCCAAAGAGGCAGTTAAACTTAAGTCTCCCATCCAGATGTTTACAAACTATTCTAAGCTAAATAATTCAATTTAAAAATTACAAACTATTCTAATAGCTAAAAGTGGTATTCTTAACTTTAGGATCCATAATATACATGAACCTTCCTGAGATTTTTGATTAAAAAAAAAAAAAAAAAAACACAAACCAGGGAAGGGAAGGAAAGATGACCCTACATATAAGGGGAAGGCTTTGCCATTTTGTTTGTTTAAATTCAGGTCTGAGAAAATTCTAACTTGCTGCCTATATGGAAACTACATGTGGAACACAGTTTTTTCATTTCAGACATGAAATTCTATTTTTTGGGTTAAGCTCTGTTTAGCCTCTGGAAAAGTTGGCTGAAACTTGCTCAGCAAATTGTGCCCAAGACCTACCTAACTGCTGGACTCAGCCCAGGCCTTGGAGGGCTGTGCCTGCCGCCCCCTCTGCCCCCCCAGCTCGATGGAAACGGGAGGGAGCAGGCACAGTCCTGAGGGAGAGCTAGCGCAGGCAGCCCGGGGAGATTCTTCTTTAATGTAAAGTTTTGAGGCTTGCTTGCTTTTCTTCTTTTTTGAGTTCTTTTACACAAAATCACCTGCTTAGGTAGAACAGTGTACCTAGTTATAAGTCTAACTAGACTCAGAGAAACAAGCCTAAAACTTAATAGACTCTAACTGCTGCTTTCATCCTTCAGCATTTGGAAATGGATATGTAATGATTAAAGGAAAGTACATGAAATATTGAGCAGAGTGTAAACTTATGTTTCAGACTTCAGTCATATATCATTAATCATTATTTTATAGTCGCCATAAACCAGGAGATTGTCTGCTTATGTACTTTCTCTTCATTGCTTAACCATCTGAAAACAGACCACTGCAGCCACCCTGTGCTGCTGCAGTTTCACATACAGTATATCTGGGAATATATCTAGTATTACAGTTTTTCCAGTCATTCATAGACTGTGTTTCTCACTATTAAAATACAGCCATAAAATAATTTTAATACTACTAATAAAATAACTGGTGGTAAAAGCCATGTATGATCTAGCTCTTCTGCTGGCTTCATTTAATTTTAAACATTCACAATCTATTTTCTATCCATTAGGAAAATGCTTTGACTCCTCGTTCTGCAAACTCCTGGAAACAAAACTCAAGCACTTGCATATTAGTTAAGGATTTGAGTTGACTAGCATGAGACTAGGGAGTGGGGTGGAAGGTGGTAGGAAGGAAGTACACAGAACAAAACCTTTTTTTTTTTAATGTTCAAAAGAAACTAAGACCAGTACAAATATTCCCCAAAGTTGTTTTTATTATGGAATTAGATTTTATGCTTAGGCAAATATTTTCTTTTGCTGTTTATAATCCAAACTTCTATAGTATTGTGCTAGAATATGGAAGTTTGAAAAATCAGATTGACTTGTCTGTTTTTATCATCCAAAATGACTAACAGACCACTCCATGCAGGACATCAGGACACTTCTACAATAAAAATAGAAGTTAAAAGTACAAAAGGGTTTATTGGTTTTTTTTTTTCAGCCTGAATGAGTTGCTCAGGTAGTGTCAGGACATCATTTCTCATACCACAGCGACAGGTAAGTCAGTAAATTAACTTTAAATATTTAACCTGGTATATTTCAAAACAGGCTTGATCAATGAATGTCTTTAAAAAGACTTTTAGATAAGTCAGACTTCTTTTCTTATTAGGCTGCAGTGGTCTCGTGCACCTAAACTACATGGTATGTCAGTTTAAAAGCTACCAGAGCACATTAGCTTATAGAATTGTGTAATGAGTCCAAACTCTCCAACTGTGCAAAGTCCTCCTGGTTTCTGGAACAGCCCTTCTAACCATCCCATGCCTGGTGCTTGGCTGAAACGACTGATGGCAACATTAATGGAGAGTGACCACTGCATGGCATTTCCCCGAGATACACGTGACTTCTCACCTTCAGCTTCTTTCTCTGTCAGCTCAGACGGCACAGGTAACCCTGCACGGTGAGAGGGCAGCAGCCACGAGAGTCTATTTGAGGACAGAAGCTGCAGTTTTGATGAGCAGTGGTTTAGCTGCCTCTAGGATGTCCAGTTCAGGGTCCAGTGAACGACCAAGGCCTTCCAGAACCATGATGGCAAAGATAATGGAAGCAAAATTGCTCTCGAGCTTCACCTAGAACCACAAGCAACTGAATGAATGCAGTGGACTTTTTTTTTTTTTTTTGAGCCCATTCCACAGAGGTACCAGCTCTAGCTAAGCCGAGGGGGAAGGGAAGAGGCTGGCGAGAACATACTTCTGAAACTATACTGCAACTCCATCACTTGGAGTTTCAGAACACAATGAAATCCAACAGCAGGCCCCAAAATGAGACAACAGTTTCAGAGAAAATGCCCTGAAGGAACCCAAATGTTTGTTTTTCAGTTCCAAGGAGGAGGATGGGATTTTTCTTCCACACCGGCATAGCAGGAGCTTAGGAGAGCTCACCATTGCCACCGTAGTTATAAGCTGCAGTAGTATCCAACATACCCGAATGCATGCACTTGTGTAAGGGGGGAGCTCACCTTCTGAACGGCCATAACAGACCCCACACATCAGAGAGGAAACCATCCTCTGCTCTGCCTGTGAGCAGACTACTCCCCAATTCCCAGCCAGGCACCAGGATGCTTTCAAGGCCTACCAGGGCGTTAAGAATTCATGGAGTTGGGAGGACTTGTTTTGCCTAAATTATATTTAACGTTATTAGAAACCAGCTTAATGAGGCTTTAATGATTAAAACCTCTAAGGAATGTTTAGGGGGACCATTGGCAGGCTGGGCAGCTCTGTGGCTGACAACCTTCTCATCTCCTCTAGTTAAGGCCACCATAGCTCTGTTGATTTCCAAAGTTGTTTGCAACTGTGGAAACTTGTACCCCAAATAATATCAGTTACAAGAAGGAATCTCTGATCTGTGAGCAACTCCTCACTTTTGAGGCCTCTAACAAACCAGTAAAATGGCTAGTGCTGTTACATAGCCACATATCAAGAAAAAGATCCAGGGAGTAAAGCATGCAGTGATATAAAAGTGGAACGTATATTAGATTTAATTTTCTGCTTCTAAGGGATTATTAAAAAAAAAAAAAAATAGGAAAAACTGTGTGTTACAGCAGCATTCCTTTTAGTAAGTAATATATACCGTTAAATGCAGTATTAAGACAAAGCCCAACAAAACAGAAATTGGTCTTGGTAGGACGTATATCAAGCCCTGAGAAACAGTATGCCTGCAGCACCTCGATGCATTCCTGCAGTTCCTTTCAGAAGTTAGTCCCCCTCCTTGTCAGCCCTTCATGTTCCCAGTAGTTCTCCCTCCCCAGATGAACTTTCAGCTATTGAAGGCAGACAGTGACAGGACCTCACCTTATGGGTCATCAGTAGTTTGAAGACATTCGAGAGGAGATTTGCCACCTGAAGCTGGAATACAAAAGAAGTTAATAACTGATCAAAAAAACCTGTGGTCGAGAAGTCTGAGCCACATGAGTGACAGGCAGGATTCTTCTAAGTGTTTGTTAGAATTTGGTTCTGGCATTGGGAGAAGATTACTGCGCTAACAACAGCCAACAACAGGGTATGATCCCACCCCACCCAGGATAAGGAGTTCAGCTGTGACCCACTGTTCTGCTTACTTGCCAGCCCAGGAAGGCCAAGCATGTCTGACCTCACAGCAGGACACAACATGCACTGATTTGCTCAATGCCACCATACTACACTCTCTGAAGTGCCCAGGCCGGCCTTAGCTAACAGGATGCAAGCTGTAACATCATGCTTAGAAACTCCACACAGGAACTATAGATGCTAGAGATTTGAAAAAAAAAAAAAAAAAAACAAAAAAAAAAAAAACACACAACCAAAAAAACCCCAAAACACAAACAAACAAAAAAAACCCCACAACCACACACAAGTGGGTTTTTTTGATTAAAAGAAGATAAGGATTTATGGATTTTTGCTGCACCCGAGAGACTACAAGCACCCAGTACTGGTTGGCAGTGCTGGTAAGATCAGAGCTGGCCTTTCCACATGGATCTCTGAAAGCCAAGTTGCACCGAATTACAGGCGAGTGGGGGTGGGACACTTTGTGCACTTGCCTTTCCTAGGGCAATGGTGTTCCCCCGGACCTTGGTCACTAGTTCCGCCATCTCAGCTTTGAATCGCTCGATATCCTGGCACTGGTTAGCACGGGCGTGATGAAGGATCAGTTCTGCCACTCTCTCCCCCTGTGAAACAAGTTGAAAAAGAGAATCAGAACTTGATCACCGGTGCCAGCAGGCCTACAGGGAGCTTCACATCATCGTCCCTGGAGGAGGCATACTGCAGGGAGAACGCCCAGGGCCATGCCTTCCCCTTCCAGCAAGGGACCTAACAGATCAACAGAAGCAGGTGCAGGAAGAGCACAACTGGTTGAAAAGTCTTAGCTGGTGTCTGGCAAAACCCTGCTTGTTTTTCTCGCAGGCTTTGTATGGTAGAACACAACAAAGATCTCTCGTTCAGGCAGGAGAAATTTCAAGGGGAAAAAGTAAAACCCACAGGACCGGCATTTTCTTCTTAACAGAGGAGATAATGGTGTATATATTAACCTCCCTTACGGGCTAAGTCCAACCTTCCATTTGCAAACTGCAGAGAAAGATCGAGCTGATTCTATACCAGCAGATGCTTGGTGAGAAAGGGGGGGGAGCCATATTCAAACTGCACTTGTGAGAGGTTTTATAGCTCTTCTTGGAAGACGCGTCTGACAACAACACAGAGAGCCAGACACCCCAGGTTTGGCAATGAGACTTGGTGTAGAAGTTTTTCACCTGTAGATCGTGAATTACACCCAGCCTGAGCCATGCCTCCATGCATTTGGCAATCAAGTGTTTGCAGTTTTTGCTTAGTAGCTGAGAAGTAAGTCTGGCAGCACAGGATGGGCCTGAATACACGGTTTAGCACTGACACATTGGTGTGCTTTGGCAGATTAAACAAACCAAGTTAAAACATGTCCCTCTTGAGATACGCTGGTGAGCCACCCAACCTACAGCTGAGAAACAGCAACACACAATTATAAGCGCAGATGCTCGTTCTCAAAATGAGCAGGAGACATCAGCACTGGATTCTCTAGTCCATTTGAGAGTATATTTTAAGTCAGGGGAAGGAGGATAAAGTCCTTCCTCTTATACAGATAAGCCTGGCTGAGGCCAGGCCCTTCCACCCCCACCTGTTTTGGTTCCTCTTCTCTATGGAGGCTGACACAACAGCAGAAGGCAGGATGGCATAAGGGCTTTCCAGCAGTAAGGCTGCAGAAGGGAATACGCATGGAAGACCATGACGTTAATCCATTCCCTCCTCTTCTCTAAAACCTGGCAGATTCCACCAAGAGTCTCAAGCACAAGTGGCTCCCAGGCAGTCCTAACTTGCACCAGAAGCACTCCTAATCGGGGAGTGGCAGTCAGTGCTCCCCATTTCCTGGGCCACTGAAATCGCCCCGCTCTGCCAGCTTCCTCGCTGCAGCTGAACATCTTATCCCTGTGTCTCATGTAGCTTCCACACTGGCAAGCCTCCTCTCCCCTCTTCGCGAGGTTTGTAAGGGGAAATAGAAAGCAATCCTCGTGGTCAGACTCTCCAGCTGCCTCCCTTCCCCAGCCCCGTGAGAGAGGCCTCACCTGGCCCTGGACCACAGCCGTGAAAACCGCCCGGAAGTTCTGCATGTCGGCGCTCGGCAGCTCTGCCACGATCCCCGCGTCCAGCAGCACCAGGCAGAGCTGCCTGAGGGGCGGCTGCACTTCCACCACCAGCGTGTCACACAGGTCCACCACGGCCGTCTGCTCCTTGCAACTGGTGCCGACGTGGGCCACGCCTTGAACCAGGATGTTCCCAGGGTGCAGGTCGGCGTGGACGAAGTTGTCAACAAAGACCTAGAGGGCAGGCAAGTCTCAGAGCAGCTCGGTCCAACTAAACCTGCCCACGCCAAAACTCCGAAGCAAACAGCAGAGGTTTGTTTCAGGTCTCTTCGCTGTCGTTACTAATGTGCATCACCCTAGGCAGCAACACAGCAAATGGCTTCTGCTGGAGGCCAGCTGTGCTGGGATGGCAAAGGGCGCTACTCGCTCCAGGGGAGTTGGCAGAGCTGTGGGAAGCAATCCTGTGTGTTTGCTAGAGGTCAGGCAGGGCAGCCACGAGTCCCATCAGCAACAGCAGTGCTCTTTGGCAATTAACCCTCAACTGGGGGCACGCCGGTGGGCTCCGGCCAAGGGTAATGCTGTAAGGATAGGCCATTTGTTATTCAGTAGCACGGGTTCTAGCAAATGGTTAAGCAGGTCTAGTCTGGGACATCAACCTGCATTACAACTGTATTGAAAAGTAAGGAAAACAAGTTAAGAGGAGAGAAAGCAAAGGTATGTAGCACTTCTCTGCCTCTGCTAGCAGCTAGCACCAGAAAGGACGAGCAAGAGGGCAAGCACAAGACAGTACTTCCCCACTAACCCTCCTGGCCACCTGGGACTGCAGGACT